TTAATGGAAAAACGTTTTAATAAATCAGTTAAGTGGTCTTGCCGCTTTTTTGCGGCTAATTACACGCATTAGTGTTGGCCAAGCCAATCCAGACTCGGCTTGACTCCCCCTAGACTCTGCTCTTCTTCTCCTGCCATGTTCCATGCGCGACAAGCTGCGTGTTAAGCGTCGCCAAACAAAATGTACTTAGCTGGCAGCTGGACCAATGCAGGTATCTGGACTTGGGCCTGGACCTCGATAGACAGCGCGTAATTTAGCAATTAAAAGCGATTAACGCGCTACTTAAGCGACGTTTTTAACTTCCAGATTGTCGTCGTCTTAATGGCCCACAAGTTGAATCGGCCGTATCAAGTCAAAGATTAGGCCTTGCCCAGAGTCCAATAGAAAAGACATAAAAAATAAATTCACATATAAAGCGTTGCTCCCTAATGAAAATTAACTGGCCAAAATCCCAGATTGAAGTTTCGTCGCGATTTTTTAACTTTGTGGAGACTTTTTCATGAACTAACTTTGACATGTTTCAGTGTGTTTCAATTCCATTTCGTTTACTCTATTATACATGAATACATAATGTGTTTCAATCCCATTCTTCAGTGGCTAAAATATCCTTTATAAAATGCGTAAATTCTATAGTTTATTCTAAAGTTTCTACTTCAGATTTTTGTGTGTGATGTATTTTCATACAAGACCCATGCATTCTGTTCAGTTGAGTGTAGAGCGAGCTTCTTTTAAAAGCAAGACAAGGTATTCTCTGGGCAGGTAGACGAAGGCATGGCAGATCATATAAAATATATATATTTATATGTTATATAATTATATTATATATATACTTATATATATATGAGTCGAAAGTCTAAAGAAAGCGTAAATGATGGGTCTGAGGGTATTTCCTAGTCGGGCACTCCCAACGAGAGCACTCTTACTTGCAGTCATAGAACAAAGAAATATTGCTTAAGCAAAAGAATTATAATAGATTTGGCTTAACATTAATAAGACTGGCAATAGGAGAGACGGTCTAAACTGGGCCCAGAACTCGAGCCTGGCTTGAGATTAAGATTAATAGAGTTATTATCAGAGTCATTCATAATTATTGAGTGCAATTTGTTGTTGGTTTTTCAATGTTGTTTTATGCGCCTTTTTGGGTCAACTGCAGTGTTGGGCCTTTTGCATTTTGGCCAAGTTTCGTGTTGGCATGTGAAAGGCGATTGTCGATCGGAAAGTGGCGAGTGGCGAGTGGCGAGTGGCGAGTGGCGAGTGGCGATCGGTGGCTCCAGTTCTGGAGTGAATGCCTTGCACCAGTTTATGTGGGTTAACTGGGCCGCCCCATAAATTGCGCGCATAAATGAGGCGTGGCTGGGGGAGAGGCGTACAACTTTCTAAACAGCGGCATGGCTCGGTCAACCTTTTATGACACTTGACCACAAAACTGGACTCGAACTGTGGCATGCATTCTTGTGGCAATTTCAAGCAGCTTTTCTCACCTGCCACACACACCTCAGCACAGACACAGAGACACAGAATGCAAATGGCAAACAAATTAACAATCCGTTTCAACTAGATTTCGTTTCGTTTCGTTTCGTTTCGTTTGGCTTTTCGTAACGACTTCCGCCGACTTCTTTTGGCTTTAACCCATTGTTGGCCTCACTGTTTCTGCGGCCGGAAGCGCAAGTGCCGTTTCGAGAGCGAAAGTTGTGAAATCCATCAGAGAAGGCGGCAAATGTGTAAATCATGCAGTAACTGGGCGAATGCCAATGCCGATGCCGTTTTTATTTTTACGAGCCATAAGCCAAGAGCATTACCTGGACAGGTGCAAATGCACATATACTACCTACATATGTGTATATTGTATATAAATTCCTTCGGCACTCGCCCGCATGCTTTACGGCTTATTTATGCTGTTTATGCAGCGTTAAAGGTTATAACACATGCCAGAGGTTTATGCGGCGCCAAGGTAAATATGAAAGCAAACACATTTTAATGGCATTCCATTTATATTTACATTGGAGGAACAGCGCTCCAAGGCTAACCTAACAAAACACAAAACCCCAAACTGAAAATAAGAAAAATATACCCACATATATACAGCGAGAGAGAGAGAGAGAGAGAGATGGAGATGGAGCGAGAGGGAGAAAGAAAGCCGCATAAACAAATCAAGAAATGTTCAAATGCCACGCATGGGAGTTGCAAAAAGGCTTTTGATGGCCGACAAGTGATAGAAATGGACACGGCTGGAGCTAGTTTCTAGTTCCCCAACATCATCATGCGGTTGCTCGTGCCCCTGATGATGTTGATAATGAAGTTGTTGCTGCCAATGGACCACACACTCACGGCCTGCCAAGGGCCGCAGTTCGATTTTTCATTTGACAATGAAGGCGACGCCCACACCATAAATGTCCCAAGCAGCTGTCTCTAGTGCGTGTGTGTGTGTCTGTGTGTGTGTGTGTGTGTGTGCGCACTCCCTGGACACTAAAATCTCAGCAACGAACTTGAAACTTTTGCTTGGCCTAGAGCCTAGACCAAACCCCCAACTGACAATTGTATCGCGATTCACCGCCAGGCAAACAGCGAAATACACTGCAACAAAAGTGAAAAACTGAAAACTTCAGTTAGCATAATAAGTGGGCTGGGCAACTAGACCAGCGCCAGCCCCAGCCCCAGCCCCAGCCACAGCGGTGCATCTGCTGCCACTCGCACTCCAGTTCCGAGACCTGTCTTGGCCACAGCCCATCAACTGCAACAACGACACCCTTTAATTGGCCTAATCGCCGCAATAACTCAATTTCTTATCAGCAACAACAGCAGCTGAGGCGATAATTATATTCAGCTGACCAACTAGCTATACCCTATATACTTATCTCTGCTAACAGTCGACTTCTCAATGCACTCACTCAAGTGTTTATAGTGTCATCATCATCAGCTCTACTCACAGCTTAACCAAGCGAAGATTCCTCAAGTAAAGTGATGTATGAATGTATGAATGCATGAATGCATGAATGTATGAATGTATGAATGTATGAATGTATGAATGTATGAATGTATGAATGTATGAATGTATGTATGTATGTATGTATGTATGTATGTATGTATGTATGTATGTATGTATGTATGTATGTATGTATGTATGTATGTATGTATGTATGTATGTATGTATGTATGTATGTATGTATGTATGTATGTATGTATGTATGTATGTATGTATGAATGAATATTTTGATGTGTGCATGGACAGATGTTTCGTAGTATACCATTTCGATATCTCCTGCTGCCTTACTATGTGATTCTCATCAATTCATATGTGGCTTACACACTCAAGGGAGTTCGTAAGGTATCCTCGCACCATAAAACCCATCAAGGCAACGGCTTTGGAGCTCAGTTTCCAAAGTTAGGGTATTAACATGTAATAAAGTTAAAGTTGTAGCTTATAGCATTGCAGCTGCAGCAGGGAGTGGTGAGTGGGGTTTGGGCTGTGTTGTGTGGGGAGTCGAGGTGCCAACGAACACGTGGAGTGTGTCGATGTCGTCTTGGCTCGAGTGTCGTCCATGTCCCTGGAAAGGTAAATGCTAAGCCAAAGCTACGTGACCAAGTGACAAATTGCTGGCAACTGTAACGACATCGACTTCAAAATTCGTGTTGCCCTGAACTTGAATGATATTCGAGTGAGGTGCGGCATGCGTGCATGCCACGAGTTCGAACGTCAGGATGTGCCCGACCGACTCACACACACACACACACACACGCAGTGCAACGAACTGCACATCGAATGGGATTGTCCAGTGCTGGGTGCAGCCTTACAGCTCCAACCGTCTCCAGCCGAGCAATCGCAACTGAAATATAGAATGTAGCGCTCCTAAAAACGCATGTTAAGGGCAAACCAAAACACAAACAATAATTAGCTGTGATTGACCAACAGATACCCTGTAAGTAGCTACGAGTTGTTGTGCTTCGCATTCAGCTTAGAATATTTTAATTTTTTTATTTGAATTTAAAATATTTAACTTCAGTTCAGTGCATCTCTTATGGCTCTCCAGACAGACTTCCCAACGTATTTAGTATATCTTATGACAATTTGGAAAGGTTGATTACAAAGTAATATATTCCTTACATCAGAATGATATAGAGGAGTTTGTATACCAAATTTTGGGTATTCGACTTTTTTAATACTCGAGTTATATATTTATGAACTTCCGTAAAGTGCTCAGATTTAGGATCTTAGCAAGCTCCAGCTCTTCCAAGTTCTCAGTTTCCAGCAGGCACAGCAAGCCAATATAGCCCATTTGCACACACTCGCAATCTCTACAGGGTATACCAAAGTAATCAAAATAATAATAAAAAAATTTATAAAGCTGACATTTAAATCGGGGCGTGTTTTGCCTTATCAAGTAGCAGAGTTATGGGCTGGCTGATGCGGGCTAGCGACTCAAAAGCCTTTTGCAATTTGATCGCTTATCGGGCATATTTATATGGGAGGCTTACCACTCTCTCAGCCCCTCCCACTCTCTCGCTCTCTCTCTCCTTCTGAGCTGGAGAGAGCTGAAAATATTGTGAAGCATTTAATGCACTTAGAAAAGTTTCGCTTAAAGGCAACTTGTTAAAATGTTCGAGTTAATTAAGTTTTGCGACTCTCTTTAAAACAGAGAGAGAGAGTGAGAGAGAGAGAAAGGGACAGAGAGATAGAGTGACAGAGCTTAAACAAAGCTCTTCAGCATAACCTCAAATTTGATAAACTTTTTACTAATTTGCTGAGCAGCAACTCAAAGTTGGCTATCTTCGGTTGGCACAGCTGCTCAAATTGAATACGAATTGTGCACCTAACGCTTGTTAAATATAGTTTGGCACACACACACGCACGCACACACGCACACCTGTTTATACAAAACGCAGTCATAACTTTTTGCACACTAATTAAAAGTTGAAAACTGACTAATTTGCAAGCAGCCAAACGCCAGTTAATTGCAACGAATCTCAACGTCTCTTTTTTGTTGTTTCTGATTGCTTCGCAGGCAGCCGCAGCTATCGTGAGACTTTCTAGAGACAACAACGGTCGGCAGCTGAGCAGACAGACCCACAGAGCAGACCAGCGGCCAGAGCCAAAGTCGAGCTAAAGCCAACGCCGAAGCCAAAGCAGAAGCCGAGCAACTGACAAACGGAACAGCACAGAGATCAAGTAACATGCACGAGCGACGCGTCAAGAAGTAAGAACAGTTATTCAAATCAATATATCAATGCTCAAGTGTCCTACAGTGGGAGATAGCCACAAGAGATTGGATATATAATGTAGGAAATATGTGAAAGGAGTCGAACAGAGAGAGCAAAGAACAAAATAAAAGGGTGAAAGAGGAGGAACGAAAAAGAGAGAGAGAGAGAGAGAGAGAGAGAGAAATGTAGAGACAAAAGTAGTTAAAGACACGATGAGATAGATAAAGAGAGACAGGTAAAGAATGAAGCAAAAGAGACAAAGACAGATAAAAAGAGAGAGTGGGTGACTAGGGAGTTAGAGAGAGAAAGAGAAATAACGAGATACCCAAAGAAAAGAAAGAGCAAAAGAGTGGAAGGGCAAAGTGTTGCATGGAAAGAGATACAGATCATAAGAGAGAGACAGATATTGAGAGAGAAACAAAAAGACAAAGAGAGAGTTAGATACAGAGACTGTGTGAGAGAGAGACACTGAAGCAGATATAGAAAGAGAGCCAGAACAGAAGTTGGAGGGAGCGAAACAGATGGAGACAAACAAGCTAAGAAGACAAGACAAGGACAGAGAGCAAGTGAGTGAAAGATAGACAGAGAGAGACAGATATACACAGAGTAGTAGAGGCAGACAAATTGCCAATGAAGGAAGGGTAATTGGCTCAGAGCAAAAGTGCAACACAATCAAATATATATATATATATAAGATATATAATATATATATAAATATATATAAGATATATAATATATATATATATATATATAATTAATACTCTGCCAAATTGCACAGACTGAAGGGCGGACATTATGTGGCGACACATGGTCGACTCACGCCCGATCCGCCGTACGTGCACTCGAACCGCGGCTACTCAACGGACGGCGACGACTCGCACTCTCATCGGGCGCACTCGGAGTATACAATCGCGCACGAGCGCATCTCGCCGCAGTCGCAGTCGCAGTCGCATTACAACTCGTCGCGGAAGACGCGCAATGGGAATGGACAGCAACACCTGCAGCACAGCTACAGCCACAGTCAGATGGGCCTCTCCAGCTCGCCGGACAACGGCGGTCCTCGACCGCTGAGCGGACCGCCGCCCACGCGCCAGCCGCCGCGCGCACCTTCAGCGCTGAGCTACGATCAGGCCGGCGATGCGGGCAGCGACATCTATGTGACCAGTGCCGCCTACAAAGCGCCCTCCGAGATCAGGTGAGTGGCGAGCTAGCCACCAAAGTTGCTTCCAGTTTGATAACCTTGAATCGATCCCTTTTAGCCGCTACAGCCAACGTCCAGTTTCACGTGGAGCACCGCGCAGCGTCTACTCGGTGGCCAGCACCGCCAAGACGGGCCGCAGTGGGCGCTCGACCACGAAGCGTGGCGCCAAAATCGAGACGATGTCAGCCCCGAATCCCTTCTGCCCGAATGTGAAGGGCGTCTGTTGCCTGATGCTGCTGCTCAACCTGGGACTCATTCTCGTCACGCTGGGCTTCGTGATCGTGGTGCAATTCTACGAGCCCGTCTACGTCTGGTGAGTGTGTCTCATGCCCCTGACATCCGGCAAAAGCCAGCTCATCCCTGTCCGTCTGTCTGCCTGCGTGCTTTACAGGATACTGGGCATTATATTCCTGATCTTCGGCTTCCTCACGCTGGTCGGCTGCATGATCTACTGTGTGTACGTGTGCCGCGATGCGAAGACGCCCTCACAGGTGCGCAACGAGGATCTGTATTGGACGCGCCATTGGCAAAAGAATATTGGATATACGCCGCAAGAGATTAACTACAAGGCGGACAAGTACGATGCCTACTCGGATCGCTACTCGGTTAGCAAGCTGAGCGGCAAGTATTCGGATCGTGAGAGCCAGCGCTACTGAACGGGCCCAGCCGATGCGGGAGCAACTTACTTAACTGCAAAGCGAGGGCCGACCGATGAGTAGCTGCTGCTGATCGATAACAAATACTCATTAGCCCGTGCCCACGCACCAGCAACATAATCATAATAATCATAATATGAAGAAGGAAGCAACTGGCGCAACTTAGACACACCTACACACACACACATATATATATATATATATATATAACTAGATGATAGTCTTAAACGGTTTATTAACAAGGCCTCAACGTACCTGCTGCAAGCTGCTTGCTAGTTTGTATGTTCTTAATCATAAAGAAACACGCCCACACACACACATACACACATACATATATATATATAGATTCATGCATTTGTATGCTACGTGGAAATACAATTAGAACCTTGGAATGCTGCCATATTGTGAGACAGTTGAATAACTTCGTACATATCTTTTTTGCTTTTAGTCTAACTGAAAACCTTTTACGCTAACCTGTGCAAAGCAAATAATGAAACAACCAGAAAAGAAGAGAAAACTTAATAAAGTGCAAAAACGTAACAGAATCAAAATTGCAGTCTTCAGTCCTCTTCGACTTCGATGCCGAAGATGTCGTGCAGATCCTCGTTAGTTAAATAGTTGGCATTGAGACGTTGATTCAGCGTGTTCAGAGTGCGACTTATGCTGCGATAATAATCAGTTATCATCTCTGGCTCCAGTTTGTCCAGATTGTTGTGATCGGGGACGAGGAAGAAGGGCACATGCTTTTTAGCCAGCCCTTGTCGCAGCTTGCCCAGCATCTGCAAGAAACACAGGGTAGAGCAGGCCAATACTGATTGGGATCGAATCAGAGTGGACGTACGTGTATTAGAATTTGGCCTGGCGCCTGGTCCCACTGCGTTGAGTTCTTCCGCAGTTCATCCAAATAGATACTCTTCAGCAGGTAGCTGTACAGACCGGGCATCTGGTTGGCATTTCGCAGAGCCTTCATCAAGCGCAACGAGTCCTTCAGATTCTGTCTGTCGTGCAGCTCGAGGCGCTCCCAGTGTGGGGCACAGAATATGAAGGATCTGGAGTCTTCGGGCTTATTGGCATATTTGCGTGGCACGGCAAACCAGCTACGTCCACCGTTGCGCGGCTTCTGCAAGCCTCGGGGCCATTCGGTTGCCTCGAACTCGAAAACAGGCACAAAATCAAAACTGATCTGCCGCGAAGGATTACGCCGTTCGGTGGCCAGCAGTGTGTGGGCCACGACGCTGCCTTTTGCCTGGTATTCCATGCTATAGACGCGCCGACGTGTGCAGCGTATAGCCTGTAATCTCGGCATAATTGCCTCAATGCTCTGGCGAATCCATTTTTGAACTGCCTGGCGATTAATGAAGTAGCCTTCCCCTCGATACTGCGCCACACACGGATGCTTGCAACGAGAGGCCCGCAAAAAGATGTAGCCGGGTTGATCGGGCACGAGAACGGGCTGAAGGTCAATGGGCAAACGGATCTTGACATGCATGTCGAACTCGTCCGGCAAATGGATCCGAATGCCATCCAAGCAGCTGCCGCCCAAGCTGAGGCCTCCAAATGCTTTCCGGAACAATGGATCGTAGTCCGCAATAGCGGTTATAAATGCATTCTCTATGACCTGAGCATCATGGCAATAAGTACGTCGCGCATTTTCTGGAAATGCAATTTGCTCCAATGCGTATTGAATACCCTCGCCAAACGTGAAACAGCTCTCGGAATCACTTGTGGTGTTGTCCTCGGAATCACTTGTGGTGTAGTCCTCGGAATCACTTGTGGTGTAGTCCTCGGAATCACTTGTGGTGTAGTCCTCGGAATCACTTGTGGTGTAGTCCTCGGAATCACTTGTGGTGTAGTCCTCGGAATCAGTGTCACTACAACTCATTCTTTCTGCACTTGAAATAGCAATGAAACAACTTCTGGGATTCACAAAATAAAATTATGTGTTAGCGTTGCCAGATGGGCTTGAGTGGCTCGATCTTATATCATAACTATTGTGGCAGCGCCATTTATGTTAAGGTGAAAATTTGGTGGAGCGACAGAGGAGCATTCTGTTATCTAGCGATGCTTTACTCTCAGAACATCAAATCTCTGGTTTACAACTACAAACGAGAACATTTCAACTGAGCTTCTACATCGACACTCATGTAGCTGTAGTTAATATCTTTCAATATTACAATTTACTTGTATAGCTGCACTGCTTATGCCAAGGTGAAATTCTGGAGGAGCAAACTGTTACAAGGAAGAGCATTCTGTAATCTGACAATACCTTACTTTTAACACTTTCTGTTATTGTTAACTGTAGTAGGTGGAGCATATTTGACAGCGGAGGAGCATTCTGTTAACTGGCGATGTTTTATTTGAGTATTATGTTAGCTATCGTTGTGTTAACTACGATATGGTGCGCCATTCCGCGCCACCTATTGTTCATTATTTTGCCAAACACAGAGTTACCTGATCGGCAGCCCCAACAACGATCGCCATAGATAGGACAGGGTAGCTTTGATCGATTACGCTAGGTGGTATATAAAGATATCGCCGCCTTGAGTAAAGGGACATGGTTCTCACTTCTCTTCCTGTTTGAATCCTTCACTGATGTGTGCCAAAAATAATATTCAAATACCTATAGCCTGGGAAATATTCACTCATTCTTATGTAAATAAATAGTAAATAATTAGCAGTATCAAAATATATCAAGCTATCGATAATTTATTAATGTTTTGTTTTTATCGATTCAGCTTTTCAGGCTTTTCGCTCAAATGTACGCTTGTTCGCGTTCCCCTTTACTAGTTTAACGCAAACACTCTTCGGTGTTGACTGTGTGTGTTCGGTCCGGTTTGTGTTGTATGTAGTTTAGCAAAGATATATAATTCTTTTGCGTACCACTAATTTCAATTTAGTAAATTGGTTTTTAGTTAAAAGCGCTACGGTTATTTGCGATTTTAAAGTGTTATTTAGTATATATCAGTAAATATTGTGCCAAAACGAGTTTGAGTATAAATATATAAATGTATATATAAATTCGAAGCAGAAGAAACCATGTTGTGTGCAGAACTTCGAGCGTAAATTGAGTGCATTCCATTAACTTATTTTGAGTGAGAATCATTCGAATATTCATAAACTGAAAAAAGGTAAAGAATTGAGTGAAAATGTGCAATTTTGTACAATTACCAGTCCAAAAATAGCAAACGGTGCAAAATGCGATGCTTTGTTTTCGTAATAGTGCCTGTTGTTGCTTTACGAAAGTTCCAGTTAACTTTTGGGCTTTCGAGTGTCTTGTCATTATGTGTGTATGTATGTATCTGTTTGTTTATGGCTCGTCTTGGCACTTGTATGCGTGTCAATTAACGTTCTTATATTTTGTGCTGAGCGCTTTAAAAAGACAGTTGCAAACCTGTTTCTCGTATTGTTTTTGTCTTTCGCTTTTACGCTTTATAGTCTTTCTCTCCGTTCTTTACCTGCTGCGCCCACTCACCACGCAAGCGTAGAAAGCGGCAAAATGATGCGAATGTCGTTTTGGCAAAGCGCAGTTAAAAACATAGACTTTCCTTCTCTTTTGGTTGGAATTACCCCCTGCTAATCAGCCCGCATATAATCATCTGTCTCACTTCTGCTGCCTCAGTCTCAGTTTAAGCAAAAGAAAGAAGAATAGCAATATCAAATCAACTGTCAACTAGCTGCAACCGCCACCATGTGGGCTGCGTCATTCGCATACCCTAAGTCCAATCATATTCATTGTGTGCATGTGTATGTGACAGAAGTTACTGATTATGTTTATGCTATATAAGAGGAATATAAGCTCTTCATCTGTCTCTTTTTAAAGAACGCAATAAATACAATGTACTTAGATGAGTTGTATCTAGCTGAAAAAACAAATGCATGCTACAGCAGCTCAAAGTTGGGTACAGGGTATACTTAGTCGTCTAAGTCAAGCTTGAAAGCAAATTTACATATGGATGTGTGTGTGTGGGAACATATGACAGTATACATACATGTGTTATATATGGGCTTAACACTTAGGACTATTAACAGCTGCCTTTTGTTAAACTATAACAGCAGCCACAGTCTAATTTAACTGTTGTCTGTTTTCTGTGTGAGATTTATTCTCAGCAATTTACTCGTAATTTACTTCGCTTTGCAGCCGCCTGTTGGAAGTTTTTAGCACTTTTGCAACTGTTTATACAATTCATACATACATACAAATATAGATGCATGCTCACAGATGCGCATGCATGTGTATATAGAGATAGATATGTTTATGAGTGTACTTGCGGCTATTAATATATTCATGTGTTTGTGTACGCTGATTTAAACAATTTGAAGATGTGTGGTTCCCCAAAAAATATTCTATACCAAACAAAGCTGATTATATAGAGCTGTGTTCATGAAAATAGTAGTGTCTGTATATAATCACATATTCATTAAAATAGTAGTGTCTGTATATGTACAGACTATATTTTCATGAACACAGTCATCATAACTTCAGTAAATATCATAACCAGTTTTCAACTGCAATATGAATATATTTAGGAGTTAACAGCATGTATATATATACCTATATACTCGAAACTTTGTATATAGTATGCATATATTTAATATATACATATCTCGTTTCTCGTTTCAATTGTTTTGGTTTTAGAAATGACGTGAATTAATTTTACACTAAAATTGCATTCAATCTACGATAAATTGCAATTTCAGGTTCTGTTCGTATGAAATATAAATGTTTTCTTGAAGTGTACTACTAGAACAAAGCAAACAATTATTACTGTTAAACTTTTTCAATTTTCAAGAGTGCATTTACTCCTGGCCTTGGAAACGATAAGGTGTGCTGAAAGAAATCGATTGATACAATTACTCAATTTGCTATATAAGGCACACCTAGTTGACCGTTTATTATAATCTCATAATTTGTTCTGATCGATAACGTAAATAATAAGCATAATACAAAGAAACTTTGCCTCTTTAGTAATATATCTTATATCTTACCTTATATATAACATATATGTTATATCGCTTAAAGTGATCTGTCTTGCATCAGACTTAATCGCTGTATCGCTTCAACGAACTTTTACTGTACTATCCATTGCTCCCCCTCATTTGACGCCATTTTGTAATCCTCTCAAGACGCTCCTCAGTTTTCTGCTTACCTTCAATCGTCGATTGCATATTTCTTCGCTGAAGAACTTCTGTTTTGAAACCTTTTTGATTACACAAAATTTCAATTTTCTGCTCACTTCTCAGGTTGGCGATGACAAGCCCGAGTCCGGATATCATATTACACATGTGACAAAAACAGTTTCAATTCCAATTCGACTTGGAACTTTGTACTGTCATCAACAAATCATCAGAATAAAGTTCCCAGCCAAATGTTAGCGAATGGGGCTGTCTGAAACAAATTGTTTAAATGAAAAAATTTCAGTAGATATACAAAACAAAACAAATTAGTAAGCAGAAAATGTAAAAACTAAATACGAAAGGCACACCAAATTTGTATGTAGAGGTAGGCACAGGTATGGATGTACCACTATCGAGTCCTTACTGCCACATTTGCTTACTTCAATATTGCATAGGGTTTAAGAATTGTCTTTTATATGTTTTCATTGCTTAAGCTATACATTTTCCAACTCGATGCGACACATTTGCGCGTCAGACTTTGAAATCGCTATCCAATACGCGACTTATGTACACTTCCTTATATATTTCCTATAGATATATATTATATTTGCCTTTGTTAAGTATTAACTGCGCCATTTCTTGAAATTTAATACGACTGATAAAGAGCAAAGATATATATACAGGACTGTGATAACGTCCCACTGAAATAATACAAAAATATAGAACTTGGACTTCTGCTAAGTATAATGTGTATATGTGTAGATGAATCTATGATTACAAAGTTATACGAATTGTAACAAAGCTCAGCTGTTCAAAAATAAATAACACTTGATATATGTACATATATAGACATATCTACCAAGAATTCTATTTCTATATCATGTAAAAACACTTGAGTTTTCTTTTCTTTTTTATGCGTTCTTAAGATGTTTCCAAGAATCAGTCATATTATTTCTTAAAATGCTAAAACGATTCTAAGGGAAATATATATATATTTGTATATGTATATTCATTTACATATATATATATATATATATATATATATATATATATAATCTACTATGTGTTATTAGCTATTCGATTAGTCAATATTTCATATATATATATATATATATATATATATATATATATATATATATATATGTTAATATATGTTTATTGCTCGCAAAATCTATATATTCCGAGAACTAGCTGAATATATAGTCAGGTAGTAAACGTTATGATTGCAATAATGATTAGTTATGGGTATCAGTGATGGGTCATTCGCCGCTGTGGCCCAACAAATTGCAGCGCAATCAGAAAGCCTATAAACCTTTAAATAGTGCAGATAGGCGGCCCATTTCAGATAAGCCTGAATGTACTGCCCGCCTATCGGCTCTTATATCGGTTACCCAATGGGCGAGCTCGGCCGGGATTCATTGAAAGAGGGTAACTTAATCGTATATGTAGTAAGAGTCGAAACCATACGCACATGAATTATGAATTAATAGACACAAACCAGATGTTTCAATTGTTGAATGAATGACTAAAATCCGCCGCTACGCTTAGCAATTTTCCATTGAAAAGCAGAAAAAACATCGCATATATACTACAAATACAGTTGCATCTAGAGACACAGATATATGTGGATATAGCGAGACAGAGACACCTACAGATACAGATACTTCATCTACAGATACATATAAAGAGACAGCTACATATACATATAAAGAGCATACATGCATACAGCTACAGATACATGTAAAGAGGCAGACGCAAAAATGAATAGATTTGCTTTGCCGGCTAGTTTTTCGCTCGCTGTCGCTGACTCATCTATTTAGATTTCGCTTTAGCTTATAAGATTAACACATGTAAATATACAAACATGGACAATATATATTATATTGACTGTATACACTATACATAAATATATAATCGACTCACGGAAGCTAGAAAATATACAAAAAGAAGAAGAGATAGTGCGAAAATTTGTCTTTCGGGGAATAGAAAAGCTAAGCAATGAAATGTTCTCAAATTTGATTCAGTAGATATCAGAATTATGATATTTGATAATATCTTGCACATTTTAAGATCTAGGGCAGAGAAGAGCAACAAGTGGAGACCAAGTCATGTCCCTCTCTTCATCTCTCGCTATTACAATATTGTTGTATGATAATGCTCTATATATATAATGCGTATCCAGTACGAAAATGCGGCAACTTCTAGTAATAATGATGACGACGTTATCTGTTAGCCGTTCACTTCCGACTGTATGCTTATTCAACAATGTTGTTTAATATCACATATCACTGTTATGCCCAAGATCTGCCATGCTAATGTTAAAATTGACTGTTAGCAGTTCTATCTCAGTCACTCTCTCTCTGCTTATGCTACTCTCTCTTTCTACCACATACTTAGCTGTGGCTCATAACGCTGTCTCGCTGGCCGTACGACCTTATGCTGAAATCTCATTTAATTTTGATTTTTTTTTCATATTTCATTTAATGACTGGGCCAATTGATGGCAACGCGTATGCACAGTTCGTGACGTTGATCACTAGATGACGTGTTGTTGTTGTTATAGTTGCTGGCAAGAGTCCATGACCGGATTAGGCATGATGTACCACGACATAGCTACATAGCATAAATACAAATATCGGTCATGAACCCAGCGATAGTCTTATCAGCCGCGTCTTAAGCCAAGTGAGAAAGATAAAAAACGAGATAGACAGCTAGTGCAAGGTAGGCCCTTTAGTTAAATAAAATAGCTTATCAACACAGCCAACATTATCTATTAGTCATATAGTCTGCCTGATTGTCAACTACAGCACAGTTATCTGAAGTATGATTTGGGTTTGGTTGGTACGAGACACTCGTCTTATCGGATAGGTCAGTTCCATCCGTGTCATTTGTGTGAGCCAGGCCAAACTTCTCTTGTTTTCATTGATGTTCAAGGCTGTGTCATGTCCTTGCCGTCCTTTGATTGATTTATTTGCCGCACTGGTCTCACATCACATCATAAAGTATTCAGCACATGCATGGCAAGCTATGATTTGCTTTTATACAGCTTATTAAATTCCACTGCTTGGCACGCAATCAGAAGCAACAACGAGAAGACATTTGTCATGCAATCCACAGAACACAGGATATCGCTTTAACAAAATTCCTCGACCGCAATCAGGAAAAACATTGTGTTTTCTGCTTTTTATATATGTCTAAAGCTGACGCCCAGTCACGTAGTCAGTTTAATAACCGTTAATTACAATTAAGCTTTGGCATATTTGTCGCATGTTTCATGTTCGTTTCTCCATAATTATTAGAAGCAAATAACATATGAAAATCTGCTCTATTTCACCTGTGTAATTTGTAACTGATATATCGCATGATAATTTATACTTCATAGTCAAAAAGAGTTGAAACTACTTTGTTCTTATAATAATATTTATCACATATATTCATTGTTTGATTTGACTTGTTTTGATTTGCAGCTGTCTTTTATGACATCAAGGGACTTTTGTAGTTTAGGGTAATTTAATGTTAGATGATTTTGGTCCAAGTACGTGAATATTGTCTGATAGGTTGAGTTTTAGCCAATCTGAATGCTATTCTAGTGTGCCCAAGTGTCTATTGATGTCCATTCAGATTTCCTCAAGAAGTGTTTGGAGCTTAACAGTTCTCTGCGGAAATGCAAGACCTTGCCCATTCTTTGTCATAATACTTGTAATCGTAATTGTTGGATTCAAGTCCAAGCCTTGACATTTTTAACTCGACCATCCTGTCGGCTTATCTACAGATTGGCCTTGCAATTTGTCGCCCAAAACGCTTAAAATGATTTGTTTTTACTCTGATTAGTTTAAGAGTCGCTTCAAGATTTGTGTTTGGCATGCTAATCAAATTTGAAGATAAATTCAATTAGCAAAATGAAACACTTTTTTTCAAATGAATAAATGACTCACATTATAATATAGTTCATATATATATATATATATATATATATATATATATATATATATATTTGTGTGTCGGAGCTCCAAAGTGCAGCGCAATTGAAAGTGAAATTGAAAAGCAGCTGAGGGGCCATTCAAAGAGGGATGTATATGGTTTCCACTCATATTGCTGCTGTTGTTGTTGTTGTTGATGAACGGAAGCTCTTTTGTTTCTGTGGATATCATAACATAAAGAGTATATATAGATTTATATAAACCAAGCGTATATAGCACTCAATTTAATTGCAATTGCGTTCCCATGGAATTTCTGCGTGCAAAACAAAAACGAATTGCAAGCAGCAATGAATTTAAATTACAGACATTTTAAACATTTAAAAAGAATTGTGAAACGTCCGAAAGCAGTAAATAACAAGTGGTCGAAATAGAGGTGGAGCAGAAGCACCTCAAAGATCTTTGTGACATAAATTTGCCAAATGACAGTTCTGAATCCTGTTTACAATCGAGTAAAAGCAATTTAGTAAAGACATGAACAAGTTGAGACTCCGAGAATTAAAAAAGATATTCTTATAGATGTGGTCATCGAATGACTGCAAGGTCACTTAGAAGTGCCTAAAAATGTCCAAGGCATATTGATGATTAAATAAGCCAAAGGTCAAGTCTCGTAAGCTCCAAAAGCTCCTTGTTGGAAGTAGTTTCTTAGCCGAACAATACATTTCCGAATATCGTGTTTCCTGATTATACAAATTCGAGCACTCTCTCAACCTGAGGGTGATAGGGTTAGCTTGACCGAACAGAGCTTGAGCTGTTTGATACACATAAAGAAGGATCAGGCTTATATATTTATAGCATTTATTCATTCAGAGCCGGAACATAAAATATATATAGAGCTGTGTGAGTGTGTGCTGTATATATAGGTGTCGAGTCAATTGTAATGCGCGCTGAAAAAGTTTCTTTGTTTTGGAATTTAAGATATCGCTCCCTCTCTCTCTGGTATGTATTTCTCTCTCGGTCTCGCTGTCTTTTTGTGTCTTTTTCTCTCGCTGTCTCTTCGGTATGTATTTTTTATCGCTCTCGTTCTCTGTCGGTCTCGCTCTCTGGTATGTATCTCTGTCGTTCTCTCACTCTCACTCTCTCTCTCACTACCTGCATCAGTCCAAGCTGGGTTTAAAAGTAAATAAGTATTTAGTTAGTTGAGCATCTGCAGACGCAGCTGGCGCAGAGTAGCGCCAACGCCTTCCTTAAAGTAGAACACAAACGAAATGCCAAATCCGACCAGGCTGATCAGAAAGAGCCAAGGCGAGATGAGCATAACGCCCAAAAAGAGCACCGCGTCGTTGCCCTTGGCATTGGCCATGCGCCACAGCAGCTGGCGCAGGAAGGTACGCAGCTGAAACTTGCAGTGCCATAAACGAAAGCTTATCTGAGTTAGATTAATGCCTAGGCGCAGACTCTGCATCAGAAAGCCGCCGATCAGAATGCTTAACAGCTGCAGCACCAGGAGCACATGGTTGAAGAAAGTGTTCTCACAACAACGTTGCAGTGCCGCCTCCATGCGCTCCTGCCGCTGTGCTGGCATCCCGGACTTCAGATAGTCAAAGACACGACGCCAACGCGTCGACTGGCCATTGGCCACGTCAATATTTTGGATGTGCTGACAATACTCGGTCTCCGAATCCGTATCGCTTTGATATGTCTTGCCGCTCGGACGGCCCAAGCTGTCCATGTGACCCACGTGGCCCATGTGACCCATGTGATTCATGTAGCCCATGTGACCCATGTTGTTCATGCCATTCATGTTTTCCAGGTGTCCCTCGTTTTCCATATGACCCCTGTTCGCCATGTTCTCCATGTTCTCCATGTTTTCCATGTGACCCACGCCGCCCATTTTGTCCAAGTGGCCCATGTTCTTGTCTACGTGGCCCATGCGACAACAGTCATCCCCCAACGGCAGATTGCTTTTGTTGGTCTGGCCTAAGGGCAATGGAGGCAGCTCACCTTCGTAGGCGCCATTGTAGTTCGGGCTCGAAGTGTAGCTACGTGAACTGTTGCTGCGCAGTCCAAGATCATGCTCACCCTGTCCATGATCGTATGCAGCATGGGCGGAATGCGAAGCCTTCTTACCGGGCAGAAAGCGTAATGACTGGGCCGATGAACTGTGATTGGGGCAGCCAGTAAGGGAAGGGTACGGTATGGTATGGAAATGAAATTTCCCTCGCGTTTCTCACCTGTTCAGATGTGGACGCTGTTGCACCTGCACCTGATGTGCCAGCTGCACTAGAAATGGTATGCCATTCAGACTCTCGGCCTTGTTGAACGTGGTCGCCTTTAGCTGCTGCAGATTGAATCCGCCACCGGTGTAGGGTGAGCGTTGTTTCTGCATAACCTAAAGATGTTTGACTTAGGCACTAATCTTAGCGATTGATTGCGAATGACTTGCAACTTATATAACGGCTAATCACACAAGTGTGGCATTAAGCATAAATAACAATTTTTAATAAAAATTCGTTTTATTTTTTTGCTCTTACTACAGCTGCTTCGCTGTGTTAAAATTTAGCTACTTTTTGTTGAGTTTTTACTGCGGTGAGGAGCTCTTGATTTAGTAGTGAAACAAATGCAGAGCCTACTGAACATACAGGGCAAACCCTCAAGTCCCTTCCGTGACATTAGCTCCAGGGCCAGGCATTCTAACCAGATTGCTACAGAGTGCGAGGCTTGAGATACACGAAACTAACCGAAAACATATCGGCGAAGTGAAGAGGTTTCTTTTATCTTATCCTTTCCTCTTCCGTTCCATCAATCTGTTAAGTAATCCCACTTAAGGCTGATGAACAGAAAAGCTCTAGCTGCTGATGACTTCAGCTACATCGCTTAGGAATTGCCTTACTATTTTCTACACACATCGATCGATCGATTTATAGTACAATTATTCATGTGATAGTGCTCTAACCCCATACTAGACGACTACAAAAGCGAGGATTCTTGAATACGTAAGGAAACTATAAATTCTGATTGGACTAATGCACATAAATTATGGAGTGCCTCATACTTATTTCTTTTCAACATAATATATTTGAAATCTATTATATATCTTAATTATTTGTTTAATGATAACATTTTATATTTTCTTGTTTATTAAAGCAATTCCCCCTGACTGCAACTGATTAAGTTGCCACTGACTCACATTCATATCGAGTCCGTGTACAAGACTTTACATTCTGATCCAGTGCTCAGTTCAATGTTGATAGGCCAGCAAGCGAGGAAACAGAAACTTGATAAAAAGAGGAAAAACCCATACTGAGAGTCGGGCTGTGGAGCATGAGCTGGACATGGAGTGGACTGATGCTGCTGGCGTTACTGGCGCTGGCTCAGTCGGAGATCATTGAGCTGGATAATGATGCGCCCGAAGGACCCAATGTGTGCAAGAAGCGCGAAAAGTAAGTGTCTTCCACAGCAGAAGCAGTTGGAGGGAGAGAGTAGAGTGGAGCAGTTCATTGACGTATTTCTTCTTAGCTACGAAGTGGAGGTGGTAGTCACGGAGCTGCAGTCATTCCAAGAGCGCAGCTCTACCTGGTGCCTGAGCATACCGCCCAGCTGTCCCACCTACCGGATTCGGCATCGAATTGTCAATAAAACCCAAACAGTGCCCAAGACGCGCATTGTGCGCGATTGCTGCGGTAGGTACTGCGACTGATATGAGCTAAAATGTACTGATCTTGCTCCCCTCTCGCAGATGGCTATGTGCGCAGCGGCAACGAGTGCATCCCGCATTGCAGCGAGCCCTGCCAGCACGGGCGCTGCATCGCACCCGAGAAGTGTAAATGCATCGAAGGCTACGGAGGACCCGCCTGCAACATAAGTTAGTTTCAAATTTCAAATATGAGTAGATAACGCTTCTGTAGTAGTTGTCCTAGACTCTATGCTTGTGTGTGTTTCTATGTGTGTCGAGTTAACTGCAATGAACTGCCTTGGGTGTGAGGATCGTCGCAAACCTAACCTTGTGTGTTTGGCTAATAAATTATCGAAGCAGTTTATCAATTAGTAATTCTCTATAAATACACAGCTTATCTTACAGACCAAACAAAAACAGGAAATCGGTGCTGAATCACACGATTTCAATTCCAAACTGCAAGGGTTTTCACATTTTGATTACCCGAAATTTTCCTACGGTTAGCACAATTCTGCTTTCTTCGTAATGCTTTTTAGTTTAGTTTTATGTTACTAACCTTTTGATTTGCAATGTTTTCACACGCACAGACACCTACACCCACCCACACACACACACACACACACTCGTTCTCAAGCCTTTCAAACACACAGATAGACGGCTCTCTTAACAAATGGGCTCACGGCACAATTCACTGCGGCAGAAGTTTTTTTTCTAGTTCCTGTGCTTGTTGCAAACATTGCAAACATTGCAAACGGTAACCGCAAACCACTAACAAAAAAACAAATGATCTAGCAAATGTATATATATATATAGTAAGATCACCATGTGTAAGCATTCAACAAAAATGGTAAATCGTAAACTCTTCGGTAGATTGCTCGCCCGGTCTCTACGGCATCGACTGCAAGCTGAAGTGCGACTGCCTGAACAACGCCACCTGCGAACCGTTCACGGGGCAGTGCGAGTGCGCCAAGGGCTATACGGGCGACAGGTGCGAAGAGACTTGTCCGCCCCAGCACTACGGCGAGAAGTGTGCGGAACAGTGCCGTTGCGAGAATGGCGGCAGCTGCGATCACGTATCCGGCAAATGCTCCTGCGCGCCCGGCTATACGGGTCCCCTGTAAGTGGGCAGCCACGTGCTAACTGAGACTAATTGAGACTAATGTCACGCTTCGATCCATCAGATGCGACATGCGCTGCCCGGACGGCAAGCATGGCGCCCAGTGCGAGGAGGACTGTAGCTGCCAGAACGACGGCAAATGTGATCCACAGAATGGAGCCTGCGAGTGCACAGCCGGCTGGACAGGCGATGTTTGTGCGAACAAATGCCCCACGGGCAGCCACGGCCTCAACTGCGAGCTTTCCTGCGAGTGCTACAACGATGCACCCTGCCACCACATTACCGGCCGATGCGAGTGCCCGCCTGGCTACATGGGCGAAGTGTGCATGGACGAGTGCCCGTTGAACACCTACGGAGTGAACTGTACGGAGAAGTGCCACTGCGAGAACGACGGAGGCTGCAGTCCGACGGGCAAGTGCCTGTGTGCGCCCGGCTGGCAGGGCGAGCGCTGCGAGCAACGAATTTGTGAACCAAATAAATACGGCACCGACTGCAGCAAGAGCTGTGAGTGCGACATGGAACACACGGATCTCTGTCATCCGGAAACAGGTCGTTGCATATGCAGCATTGGCTGGAGCAGTGCCCAGTGCACGCGTCCCTGCGCCTTCCTTAAGTACGGTCTGAACTGTGAGCAGAACTGCGACTGTCGCAACGGGGCCAAGTGCTCACCCGTTAATGGCACCTGCCTGTGTGCGCCTGGCTTCACCGGCGACAAGTGCGAGCAGAGCTGTCCGGCGGGAACTTACGGTCAGGATTGTGCCTTCAGCTGCGACTGCCAGAACGGCGCCAAGTGTGCGCCGGAGACGGGCCAATGTCTATGTGCCGCTGGCTGGCGCAACAACAAATGTGATAGGCCCTGTGATCTCAATAATTATGGCGACGGCTGCCGACAGAGCTGCGACTGCCAGAACAATGCCTCCTGCAATCCAATCGATGGCCGCTGCACCTGTCCCGCCGGCTGGACGGGCCGACACTGCGAGCAGAAGTGCGAGGCGAACACTTTTGGACTGGATTGTGCTCACATGTGCCAGTGCGACAAGTACAATACGATTGCCTGCGAAGCAGCCAGCGGTCGCTGCATCTGCAAGCAGGGCTGGCGAGGTACCAATTCCTCCTCCACCTCAAACTACTACTACTCTCACAGCTCTCAATTCACACATCGCCCACTCTTCCCCTTATTAACACACACAATCTATAACGCATCTCAGATCTGTCATTCCGTTCCATGCTATATATGCGATATGCCTGCTCCTGATGAGATGCATCTTCTATCCATGACCACCAACAAACACACACATTGACACCCACACACACCCACTCGCACACTCGCACACCTGCATAATTGTATTATATATTTCATTCGATATTCCAACATTGTCCCACACTCACTCGATCCATCTCAGATCCTCTACATCTACTCTATTGCCTACTGTACACGTTCGTATGTTTTATCTTAATTTGTGTTTCTCGTTTTGCACTCGTTTTTGTTTATTTGAAAACTCTCGAAATGTGAATGTGAACTGAACCCAAGGTGTTCATTGTGAGACGAACTGTCCGAGCGGTTACTATGGTGAAAATTGTGATCAAGTTTGCAGATGCCTGAACAACTCCTCGTGCGACTCGGATACCGGCAACTGCATCTGTGCGCCCGGCTGGACGGGCGAGGACTGCGACGAACCCTGTCCCGATGGCTTCTATGGCATGGAATGCAAGGAGCGCTGCCCAGACAGCATGCATGGTAAGGCAACTGAGAATCGCTCTTTGATGCCCTCTCTAACTGGTCTCAACTCTTGCCAGGCAAAGCCACCTGCGACCATATTACCGGCGAGGTTATCTGTCGGCCTGGCTACTTGGGTCTCACCTGTCAGCATGCCTGCCCGGCCGGCCTTTACGGCCCCAACTGTAAGCTGCAATGCAATTGTGAGCACGGCGGCGAGTGCAATCATGTGACCGGGCAGTGCGCTTGCCTGCCCGGCTGGACAGGCTCCAATTGCAACCAGTCGTGCCCCCAGGACACATACGGCCTGGGCTGCACACAGCGCTGTCGCTGCCAGCATCATCGCAACTGCCGCAAGAATGATGGCCACTGCATCTGTCTGCCCGGCTGGATGGGCGATCATTGCAATTACATTTGCCCCGAAGGCTTCTACGGCGAATACTGCATGAATCCCTGCGCCTGCCCCTCACCCAATTTCCAGTGTCACGCCGCCGAGGGCTGTGTGTGCCGCAGCGGCTACACCGGCGTCAATTGTGATGAACTGATTTCAATGCAGCGCGTGGCCGAGCACGTAGAATGTGAGTAGCAAGCAACAAGAGATGATTATCTTAAACAAGTGGCACTTATTTCCACAGCGAATAACGCCAGCGTGGCTGTGAGCACGGTGTTCCTAGTGCTTCTCTTCATTGGCATCATATGCAGTGTCCTGTTCTACTTTCGCCGGCGTGTGTCCAATCTGAAGAGGGAGATAGCACAGGTGCAATACACGATTAATCCGAGTGGACCCGCCAATCACAACTTTGACAATCCCGTCTACGGCATGCAAGCCGAGGCCAGCCTGTTGCCCAACCACTTGCGACCCAAGATGAACAACTTTAACCAGAATGGATCCCTGTGCACGGACTACGGTGACGATTCCAATGCCAGCAACAGAGGTGGGTTTGAATATGCTCCACATGTAGCTCGTCTAGAGAGGCTGACACATGTCTTTACCATTTTACCATTGGCAGTGGGCAGCTACTCCATCAAATACAATCACGAGCTGCTTAACAAGAATATGAATGCAGACCTGACCAATCCGAATGTGTATAATGATAAGGAGGAGCATGTCTACGACGAAATCAAGCATAAGGAGGGCTACAAGGATCCCGGTGAGTGTTACAGAAAGACATAATACTAGACTTGTACGATAATATTCTTATGTAACATATATATATATATATATATATATATATTCCTCATTTGTCATGCACACATTTGCCATAATACAGTGAAAGTTTATAGCAAGATATTATTTCCGGAGGGTAAGCCATAGCCATAGTTCAGTGCTTGTCGCAGCTATTGATGACTCTGCCCTGCCCAGCAGAGTGCGTGTCGTCTGATCAATATCTCAATGCTAATCAATTGTCTTCTATTTCTTCTCAGATGAGTACGATCATCTGGACTATTCACGCCCCAGCACTTCGCAGAAGCCGCACTATCATCGCATGAACGACACGATGCTGAATATCAACCACGACGAGGAGAAGCCCAGCAACGTCAAGAACATGACCGTGTTGCTGGAGAAGCCCGAACCGCCAACGGAACCAGAGCCACAACATGAAAGCTTCGACAATACCAATTTGGATGATGCCTTGACGGCATCGCCCAGTTCCAGCCCAGAGCTGCGCAAATAAGGGTAAGGAAGACTTTAGTTCCCGGGATATATATATAAATACGTTTATAATGTTACAATAATTTATTGTTTTCCTGTTTCGGTCTGCATATTTTATATGTGAACAACGCGTTTTTGCTCACAAGTTGTGAAAATTGTATTTTGCTCCCGTAATGTACTCACCTTTTATATATAAACATCGATAATTAAACATAGATATACATATACATTTATATATACATATACTTTATTTTATTTTTTTATGATCAGCGTCAGGGAAGGGTTTGGATCAGGAGCGTGAGAATGTTCCGGCAGAAGTTTCGAGCGACATTAAAGTTTTCTCTCTCAATAAGGAACTCTACATTTCCCTTTCAAAGCTCATAGATATTTGCAGGGCAAGAGTAGTATACGAATGTATGTTCTGGAATTTTGCAGTCTAGATAAGGATGTCCTGTTTGATAAGGTAGAAATATAAATAGATCGCATATGTATATGAGTTTATGTACCTAATAAAGTATTGGTATTTTCCCACCTTCGATTACCAAAGTTTCTTTCTTTAACTGCGATTTCCGATAATGATGGGGATGGTGATCGCCAGATTATATCTTCTTCTTTTACATCGTTTTTGGGGGCTAACGAACTCTTATTTAATATTTCACTTTCACTAGCAAGGAGTTGTTAATGCTGTGAATCTTTTTCTTCAAAACTTTTCTAGGTTTTGCTAGATCTCGGTTAATACACTCATTACTCATTTCTGTAGGTTTCTGATAGTAAGCTTAACAGCTTTTGATAGCAGTTAAATCAGCTGTCAGTGATAGCAAAGTTATTTCAACTTATATCAACCTTCGTGACTTCTTTAATTCCATTCGTGTTGGCGTTTGGTGGAGACTGCTGCTGCTGCTGCTGCTGTCGTTTCATTCAGACTTTTGGGTACTTTGATAACGACAATGAATGCGTTGTGAAGAAGATTGGAGTCGCTCATGGCATTATGTACAAGTACATTTAACATGAAATAAGAATGCTCACAAAATAAATAAATAAAATACAACTAATTTTTTGTTTGAATTTTATTGAAATAACCACCAATGCCAATGCTATAAATACCCCCAAGCTTAATGCCAAGAAGCTTTTTATCTTACATTCAACCTCCCATAAATAGCGTAAACCCTCTCCCTGACACTGATCATAAACAAATAATAAATACTTATCACTCCCACTCAAAATATAAGCATCCTCTCAAATGTAAGCATCCCTAAAATATTGTATATTTAATTTATAAGTAATAAGTACCTATGTAAAAAATTGTGAATCAGATGCTGTAGATAATTGCATCCATTTTAAGCAATACTTTTACATATATTCATCTCAAATAATTATATTTTCATAAGCAATATATTTGTATGACAAAAAATTAGTGTTAGTCTCGAAAATATGCCAAGAATTTATAATAAGACAGATTGATAGTAGAAGTAGTGAAGAATTCAAATTTTCGAATACTATTGATATTGGCCAAAATGTTTAAAAATTTCAAATTGTGTATGAAAACTTAGTTCAAACATGTATAGTTTAAATATTGAAGAGGATTATACACTTTATAATTCATAGTTATACTATGACGATTTAAATTCGTCTACAAGTTGGTATTTTAAAGTCAAATAAATAATACAAGTTGCGTTATGCCATAAAATTATTAATTTGAATTTGAATTTGAATTTGAATTTGAAATTAACAGAAATTGCAGCGCTGCCAGGCTGAAGTTAACAGGGTTGCATTGCGGTATTCGATAGGTGCTAAAATCCGATTAGTGATGGGTAGCACTGAAAACCGGGCGGGGCTGGGCAGCACTAGTTTGTTTTAAAATGCCCGCCTGAAAGTATGCTACACTTTGTATTTTCATTTAGTGCAGCTACCTGCTGCTGATTGCTGTTCGCCTGGTATTTTAGCAGTTTTTGGGATTGCTAAACGACATGCAGCCGTCGCTCGCATGTCACAGAGTTGCTTCGAGCAACTTTAACAGCAAATTAACAGCTATCGAACAATAAAATAAGAGTTTCATTTTCGTTAAATATGTTTTATTTATTTCAATTATTTAGTAGAAGCATCAAGTCAATATTTGTTTTTAATTATAATATAAATAGTTTTGTTTCGTTTTTCATGTATCGTTGTGTGTTTCGTGTGTTGTGTCTTTGATTTGTGTTGCAAGTTTGCTATTGCATAGACTAAATGCTAAATAAATACATACATATACACCCATAGCACAGATTACATCTATGTAGATTCTAAAAGCGTACGCGAAACGAAGGATTATATTAAAATACACATGATATTGCTAATTTGTATTACTTAATGGAAATATTATGTGACTTTTATGTGTTGGATCTCCGAATACATATATATATATATATATATATATATATATAACCTCGTAATGTCTTGAACATCTTGCTAACTGGATCAGGCTTTACGTCAGACTTGTCTAGTTTAGCAAGGTCATTTCAGGAGGAGCGAGGGCAGCTTCAGTCTACAGATAACCATGGCCGGCCACCTCGGCTGGTATGAAGCCTTCGCGTCCGTCTCGCGTCTTCACATAGAACCATTGGCGCTGATCCTTGGACTCGCGGCACTCGCAGAGCGTCACAATCTCGCCCTTGTGGACGACAATGCTCTCCGTGATGTAGTCCGCATTGATGGCGACTAGAGTTTGGCGCAGTCCATTCTGCTGTTGACGTCGCAGCACACTCAGCTGCTGCTGCTGCTGCTGTGGAATGCTCTTTGGATGAAGATGTTGGCCATTATGGCCATTGGTTATGTACGATACGTTCGACAGACGTCGCACAGGCTGCGAAAGCGGCGGCTGCCTCTGCTGCTTGCACGGCGTCGTCTTGCCCGTGGGCAAAATGCCTAAGGGCAGGCAACAGGCATAGCCCACATAGCCCTCCTCGGCGTGCGGCGTCTGCACGTAGAGCCAGTTCTGGTTCTTAAATACTGCATTGACGACCATGCCCAGGGGCAAGGGGATCTCCAGCTGATAGCCCCCGGGTCGCGTCTGATAGAGTGTGCTGGCCGTGGCAAGGACCACGGGTATGTTGCCGGGTGCAGACAGCGAGCAGCGTGACAGAAACTCATCCACGTTGTGAATCTCGTAGCCGAAGCGCTGCACACGATTCCGCTCCAGCTCGCGACGCTTGCGATGCCTTCCGAGACCGCAACCAAACTGGTCTCCGAGTAGGTGCACTTCAAAGCGTCTCCACTTGCTGAGCTGCTCATGGCAGTGGCTGCAGCTGTTCCCCCCTCTGCGCCGACGCCCACTGCCGCTGCAGCTCGCGCCTGCTGCAGCCTGCTCGCCAGCTTCTTGCGAATCTCGTTTTGTATATTTAATTTATAAGTAATAAGTACCTATGTAAAAAATTGTGAATCAGATGCTGTAGATAATTGCATCCATTTTAAGCAATACTTTTACATATATTCATCTCAAATAATTATATTTTCATAAGCAATATATTTGTATGACAAAAAATTAGTGTTAGTCTCGAAAATATGCCAAGTATTTATTATAAGACAGATTGATAGTAAAAGTAGTGAAGAATTCAAATTTTCGAATACTATTGATAATGGATAAAATGTTTAAAAATTTCAAATTGTGTATGAAAACTTAGTTCAAACATGTATAGTTTAAATATTGAAGAGGATTATACACTTTATAATTCATAGTTATACTATGACGATTTAAATTCGTCTACAAGTTGGTATTTTAAAGTCAAATAAATAATACAAGTTGCGTTATGCCATAAAATTATTAATTTGAATTTGAATTTGAATTTGAATTTGAAATTAACAGAAATTGCAGCGTTGCCAGGCTGAAGTTAACAGGGTTGCATTGCGATATTCGATAGGTGCTAAAATCCGATTAGTGATGGGTAGCACCGAAAACCGGGAGGGGCTGGGCAGCACTAGTTTGTTTTAAAATGCCCGCCTGAAAGTATGCTACACTTTGTGTTTTCATTTAGTGCAGCTACCTGCTGCTGATTGCTGTTCGCCTGGTAGCAGTTTTTGGGATTGCTAAACGACATGCAGCCGTCGCTCGCATGTCACAGAGTTGCTTCGAGCAACTTTAACAGCAAATTAACAGCTATCGAACAATAAAATAAGAGAGTTTCATTTTCGTTAAATATGTTTTATTTATTTCAATTATTTAGTAGAAGCATCAAGTACAATATTTGTTTTTAATTATAATATAAATAGTTTTGTTTCGTTTTTCATGTATCGTTGTGTGTTTCGTGTGTTGTGTCTTTGATTTGTGTTGCAAGTTTGCTATTGCATAGACTAAATGCTAAATAAATACATACATGTACACCCATAGCACAGATTACATCTATGTAGATTCTAAAAGCGTACGCGAAACGAAGGATTATATTAAAATACACATGATATTGCTAATTTGAATTACTTAATGGAAATATTATGTGACTTTTATGTGTTGGATCTCCGAATACATATATATATATATATATATATATATATATATATATATATATATATATATATATATATATATATATATATAACCTCGTAATGTCTTGAACATCTTGCTAACTGGATCAGGCTTTACGTCGGACTTGTCTAGTTTAGCAAGGTCATTTCAAGAGGAGCGAGGGCAGCTTCAGTCTACAGATAACCATGGCCGGCCACCTCGGCTGGTATGAAGCCTTCGCGTCCGTCTCGCGTCTTCACATAGAACCATTGGCGCTGATCCCTGGACTCGCGGCACTCGCAGAGCGTCACAATCTCGCCCTTGTGGACGACAATGCTCTCCGTGATGTAGTCCGCATTGATGGCGACTAGAGTTTGGCGCAGTCCATTCTGCTGTTGACGTCGCAGCACACTCAGCTGCTGCTGCTGCTGCTGCTGCTGCTGTGGAATGCTCTTTGGATGAAGATGCTGGCCATTATGGCCATTGGTTATGTACGATACGTTCGACAGACGTCGCACAGGCTGCGAAAGCGGCGGCTGCCTCTGCTGCTTGCTCGTCCGCTGCTGGTGCTGCTGGAGCGTGACGTACTCATCGTTGGAGGCGCTGCGCACCGAGGCCGAGCCGGAGCCCAGTTGCTTGGTGGAGCGCAGCTGTGCATAGGCTTTCTCCACGAGCTTTGGCTGTGAGGCAGCGCGCAAATAGAGCTTGTCCACGTGCTGCTCGCCATACAAGGAGCCAGCCAGGCTGCCACCGTTGGACACCAGACTCTTGCTCGGATTATTGTTGTTGTTGTTGTTGTGCTCCTCCACTGGCTTGGACTGGCGCGGAGTGCGCGCTCCGTCGGACCGTGTGCCGCCACGTAGACGTATCTCTTTCTCCGAGTCGGTCATATTGCCGCAGGGTCGTGGAAAGATGTCCGCATTGGACTCCCAGCACGGCGTCGTCTTGCCCGTGGGCAAAATGCCTAAGGGCAGGCAACAGGCATAGCCCACATAGCCCTCCTCGGCGTGCGGCGTCTGCACGTAGAGCCAGTTCTGGTTCTTAAATACTGCATTGACGACCATGCCCAGGGGCAAGGGGATCTCCAGCTGATAGCCCCCGGGTCGCGTCTGATAGAGTGTGCTGGCCGTGGCCAGGACCACGGGTATGTTGCCGGGTGCAGACAGCGAGCAGCGTGACAGAAACTCATCCACGTTGTGAATCTCGTAGCCGAAGCGCTGCACACGATTCCGCTCCCGCTCGCGACGCTTGCGATGCCGATGACGGCGCTGCTGCTGCTGCGGCGCAGCACAGCTGGCACCACCTTCCGAGACCGCAACCAAACTGGGCTCCGAGTAGGTGCACTTCAAAGCGTCTCCACTTGCTGAGCTGCTCATGGCAGTGGCTGCAGCTGTTCCCCCCTCTGCGCCGACACCCACTCCCGCTGCAGCTCGCGCCTGCTGCAGCCTGCTCGCCAGCTTCTTGCGAATCTCGTTGCGCTTGCGAGCCAGCAGCAGCGCCTCGCTGTGCACGTCGCTGCGTGGCGCGCGCTGTGGCGTGCAGACAAAGAGCAGCTCTTTGGTGGTGGCTGCTGCCACGGGTGCACCACTGCGCACGCTCTTGTCCTTGTACTCCAGCAGGTTCTGGTTGCTGAAGAACTTTTGGCTGGCCAACTGGCCATTGCTGTGGCTGGGTGCCTGGTGGGCGGTGGGCGTGGTGGCGTAGCCATTGAGCGGCTCGGTGCCACCAGGCAGCTGCTTAACCCTGTAGCGCTTCTTGCCCACGTCCAGCTGTGTGGGCACGGGCTCGGTGCGCTGCACAGGCGGTGCAGCTGGGCGAGAGGCCTCCGGCGTGGCAACGTGTCCATTGCTTAGCTTTAGCGGCGCCTTCTCCTTGTGACTGTGCGTGGCGGCATCTGGTGTGTCGGTCTCATTGTTGGGCTGGTGCTGCTCCCGCAGCACCCAGGTCAGCGAGATGCGAGGACGTCGCAGGCTCAGGTTCTGACCCATCTCTAATGCTTCGAGGCCTACAGCATGCTGCAGTTGGGGTGTGCTCTTGGCCCGTGGGCCAGCGCCTAGCAGCAGCTCATCGATCTCCACATAGTCCGAGCTGTATTCAATGCTGTCACGTACCACCTGGTGGGATGCTGGCGCCGGAGGCGGTGGCGGTGGCGGTGGCGGTGGGGGCGTGGCAGTAAAATTACCAACGGAACTGTCGCTGCTGCCGGGCTGCTGCTGCTGGTGTAGGATTAGGGCGCAGGCGTGCAACAAGTCCGGACAATAGGCATCTAAAGGAGAGAGAGAGAGAGAGAGAGTAAGTACTCGACTATTAAATACCCTGTTTGTAAACTTAAGCTATGTTTTATAGAATAGTAACTGGAGCGCTCTAAGGAGTTAGCTCAAAAGAACTAGTCGTTCATGAACAGCAGTCCAAGTATAGTTCATAATCAATTGAATCGTTCTGCTTAGGGATCGTTCACACTAGTTCCACAAACTAGTTCACTCCATAGAACTGATTCACTGGATCGCTCAACTCACCTCTTATTCCACGCGAGCTGCGTCTGCGTTGACGCTGACGTCTGACTGCGCTGCCTAGCTCGCCGTCGCAGTCGCTGGCGCTGCTCTGCTCGCTGCTGCTGCTGCTGCTGCTGCTGTTAGTGCTGCTTGCGAATCTCTGCTGTTGTTGTAGTTCTCGCAGACGACGTCGACGGCGTGCTTGCTGAGTCGCTGCTGCTGCTGCTGCTGCTGCTGCTGCTGCTGCATGCGCTGCCGCTGGCTGCGGCGTCGGCGGCGTTGGTGCAGCTGCTACGGCTGCTGCGCGCTCTGTGTAGCCCGGCGGCGGTGTCAACGGCAGTGGGCAATAGAAAGGGGGCGGGGCACGCAGTCGCCGATTGGTGTCCTCTAAAACGTAATCGTTCTGCTGCGCCTGCGGCTGCTCTAGACTGCGCTGCAACTGCACAGCAGCTGCCGCAGCAGCATCCTCTGCATGCTGTCGATAAGTGGGCGGAACTAAGGAGGCGGAGGCGGCGGCGGCGGCGGCAGCTGAAGCTGCTGTGGAATAGAGATAAAGCGACACATTAATGAGCTGCTTGTCAATTCTTGCACCTGATCATAAAAATTCCAATTATATTGGTCCACAGAGTGCAGTCGGTCGACAGGGACCGACTGAGCGATGCCCTACAGAGCGCTTGCTGCACTTCTAGATGCCTAAGCTGAGCTCTGTCCGCAGCTGATCAAACTGAACTGGCGAGTTCTAGTTCAAGCTTAGCTCAGCTACAGTGAACTCTGCAAGTCAATATACCCCACATCTATACAGGTTTTAATAGCCACAGGGTATATAGGCACAGACAACAAACACCCCCACAAGGAATATTTAAAATATTCGCCAATATAAACGTCAAGCTCTGAGCTTGGCCCGGATAAACCAAGAAAGCCGCAGCCGCAGCCGCAGCCGCAGCCGTTGCGGACTCCAAGCCGAGTCGCAGCCACATTTATATGCGCTATCAAGGCCAAGATCAGCGCAAAGGCTAAGGCGCAGGCAGCTCTGCAACAAAGAAGCAACAACAGGAGATACGCAAGAAGCGTGGCCAATAAAATTCCAAAACTGATCTGCTCAATGGCAACAACGTGCCAGAAGTGAGTAGTAAAATGTTAAAACGTGACGGTATTTCACAAAAATACCAACAAAAATATTGTATGAGCGAGCAGCGACTCCCAGCGGCCCTCTGCGCGCCTTCCTCAACTCTTGCCATATCCATGTTATGCGAGTGTTAACGACTTTCCCATGCCCTTTCGGTTTGCCTTTGAGCTGTGTGTGACCCAAGAAGAGTGATACGTTTATCGATAACTATTTTTCAGCAATTACTAAAGTTATCGATAACACGCAGCTGCTGAAATATTCAGTAAGAATTGCCATTTGATTATGAGCAAAGCAAACGAACGTTTTCTGTATCTTCTCCTTAGATATGTAAGAGAAAGAGTCACATTTGCTTCACTTCTGTACCGCAAACTGACTGTCAGAGCTAATATGCCTCTCGCCAGCCTCTAGCCCAATAAGTAAAGCTTGACGAGCAGGCGCAGAAAGGATAAGACCCTGCAGCTTGGCTGCAAAGCCCGCGGCTGCGGCTTTAACGACCTTTGCCAGCCGGGCGGCACCCAATGTCAGAGGTAGAGGCAGCCTCAGAGGCAGAGGCAGGGCGTCAATCCGTCCGTCAGTCAGTCAGTCAGTCAGTCAGTCAGTCAGTTAGCGTATGCCGCAGCCAAGAGAGCTAATCAAAAAGAAGAGCTGGCAGATCGTGCGAGGATTGCAAAGGGGGTGTAACCGCTCAGGGTCAGAGGGCGACGGCGTAGCCTGGTCAGGTGGGCAGGCGAGTCATTCACAGAGCGAGAACGGAAGATCGTGAGGCAGCGGCCTTTAATGGCTGCGACGTGAGCTGTGGCAGCTGGGCGTGGCACAGCAGACGTTGCAAAGAAATTGAAAGTGTTGCAAGGCAAAACAAAAAATAAGTTGCAGCAGCTTGCAACAGTTGTTGCAGCCAGCTCAGCTAATTAAACGCAGGCGGGCTGCCAAATTAGCTAATGCTCAGAGAGAGGGAGAGACAAAGACACACAGAGAGATGAACGGAAAAAACATGCCACATGCGGCGCCCAGCCCAAAATTGGCAAAAACATTGACAAATTTGTTTTGCAACTTGCCGCCAAATATGGCAGCAACAACATGGCCACTGGGGCATTGACGGCGGCAAAAGGCTTTGACCAAGTTGCAACTGCCACCGCAGCAGCAGCAGCAGTAGCAACACCAGCAGCTGCTGCCACATTTAGCCGTTTGGCAGGCGGCGATAATAATTCAATCGAAGCGTGCAAATGGGGACGCTTTGATTTGTGCCACAGCAGCTGCCACAGCAGCTGCCACAGCCACAGCCACAGGTGGTGGCATAAAAGGCGCTTGGAATTGATTGGAGGTGCATGTGATTAGCCAGCCGGGAATCTGGGAATCTCTTTGGACTTCTGATTCTCTGCTTTTCTCGCCAAAAAGCTGAACTCTCGCTCTGTGAACATGGGAAATTGAACTCTTCGCAGTTAACTTGGCTAACAAATGGCATTGCGATTGTCTCTCGCTAATAAGATAAAAGCATTTTAATTGCAACTAAACATGGCAAGTGGACATGGACATGCCACTAATCCGGCCCGTCTCCCCCTCCCAGCCCCCTTTCCCGTTCACTCAGCTCTTAGCTGTAGGCCAAGCAACTGTAAAATGGAAATGGCCTAAAGCGTAACGGCCAAGCTGCCTTGCTACACTTACAAGCCAAAAGAAGAAGAAGCAAACATATAAAAACAGTTTAAATCAAATTGAAATTGATTTCAATGCTCTAACTTTTTATTATCTTTTCTATATCTATCTCTATCTCTATCTCTATCTCTATCTCTATCTATATGCCTTTCCCTCTCTCTCTCTCGCACCTGTTGGCTGTGCAGCAAATTAAAATGCTGCAGCGGCGCTTCTAAAATTTAACGAGCGACCATCGAACATAAACATAAATCCCTAACAAGTGGCGCGTGCTGCTGACAAGCTGGCGCGACTAACAGATACCCTAGAATTAGAGAGAGAGAGGGAGAGGGAGAGTAATTAAAAAAGAGTAAGCGAGATGCAGAGAAAAAGTGAGAGAAGAAAAAAATTAAATGAGCAGGACTGATGGATAGAGAGAGATGTAGGGAAGAGAGACAGAGCCTAAGAGCGACGGAGAGAGAGAGAGAGAGAGAGAGAGAGAGATACACTCACAGATAGATAGATAGAGAGAGAGAGACATACACTCACAGATAGATAGATAGAGAGAGAGAGAGAGAGAGAGAGACACACAGATAGATAGATAGAGAGAGATGTAGGGGAGAGAGACAGAGCCTAAGAGCGACGGAGAGAGAGAGAGAGAGAGAGAGAGAGAGAGAGAGAGAGAGAGACAGATACACTCACAGATAGATAGATAGAGAGAGAGAGAGATACACTCACAGATAGATAGATAGAGAGAGAGAGAGAGAGAGAGAGAGAGAGAGAGAGAGAGAGAGAGAGAGAGAGAGAGAGAGAGAGAGAGAGAGAGAGAGAGAGAGAGAGAGAGAGAGAGAGAGAGAGAGAGAGAGAGACACACAGATAGATAGATAGAGAGAGATGTAGGGGAGAGAGACAGAGCCTAAGAGCGACGGAGAGAGAGAGAGAGAGAGAGGATACACTCACAGATAGATAGAGAGAGAGAGATACACTCACAGATAGATAGCTAGAGAGAGAGAGAGAGAGACAGAGAGAGAGAGAGAGAGAGAGACAGATACACTCACAGAGAGAGAGAGAGAGAGAGAGACACACACAGATAGATAGATAGAGAGAGAGAGAGAGAAAGAGAGAGAGAGAGAGAGAGAGAGAGAGAGAGAGAGAGAGAGAGAGAGAGAGATACAATCACAGATAGATAGATAGAGAGAGAGAGAGACAGATACACTCACAGATAGAGAGAGAGAGAGAGAGAGAGATACACTCACAGATAGATAGAGAGAGAGAGAAAAAGTAACAAAAAACAAAGAAAGAAAGTGGAAAAAGCAGAAATCAAAGGAGAGAGAAACAAAACTTAAAGAGAGACAAATCAGGGAGAGCTAGAGAAAAGCGCTACAGAGAGAGAGAGAGAGAGAGAGAGCGCGTGGCCACTTCCTCTGCCTGCTGCGATCTGCATTAATTCAACATTTATTTCACTCCTTATCATTTTTATTACAGGGTATAGCAGCTGCAGCGACAACAACGTGCAGACGCGCTAGGCTCATAAAAGGCGTCATAAACTTGCTCAATTGTCAGATTGTGAGATGGTGAGTAGGTGCCAGGCATCGAAATCCTTGTTGACAAGGGGCCGACTTGTAGACTCTGTTGATATGGCACCACCAAGACGTGCAGCGGCAATGAAATGCGCAAATTTATGCACAAAATAATTTACACAAATTTCAGTATTTTTTCCAGATTTTCAATTAGTGCGCATCACGCTACGCAAGGGTAGGGCGTGCGGTAGGGGCAGGGGAGGGGGTTGAGGGGCTACTACTTAAGCCAATTTGATGGCATTTTAATGTGCGCTGCCTTTTGGGTGGCCATCACAGGTTTGAATAGGTGCGATTTAGCAATGCGATCAAAAATCAATTTGAATTTTTATTGAGTTGATTCTGGGCAAGGAGTTGCCTGGTTGGTGGCAAGTGGCAGCTGGCAGGGGCAGAGGCAGAGGCAGAGGCAGAGGCAGAGGCAGGCTGCTGCCACTGGCCGAGGCAATAAAATTTAAACGTTGCTTTGTGGCATTTGCCTCGTTTTGTCTATGTTTAAGCGCTTTTAAATATTTATGGCCCCATTTTGCGGTTACCCCACCTTAAGCGCGTCTTAAACAAACCACAAAAATATGATTTTTATGACGTTAATAAATTTAAGCGTTGTGGGCCCCAGTCTCCACGGGCCCCAACAGAAGTCAAAGCGGCGCGAGAAAGTTGCCTTGGCCTAGGCTGAAACAGCTTATGGAAAACTTTTAATTTAATTTCTACTATTGTTTAGCTGTGCAATAAAAATAGCCTACAAATTATATTGTTGTTAATGCATAGTTGCCAGATCTCATGAAAACTTGGAGCTTAAGATAAAATTGTCGTCATATGTAATTTGAATAGCCAATGCAGAGAAGAGAAATGGCAGAGACTTGAACTGGTCTGTATTAAAATATTATTTTATAATTTTAAATATTTTTAAAAAAATTAAAAAAAAATACTTTAAAAAACATTTAAAACACTTGCGTATGTGTTCAAAAATATTAAAAAAAAATTATTTATTTAATATATATATATAAATAAATTTAAAAAATATATATAAATAAACATATTTTCAAAAATATTTTGTATATCCATAAATACATGTAGTTTATAGGCTAAAAATATTTTTTAAAAAATAAATTGTAATTTAATAAAATTTATTTTATTTATTATATATTATTTATTATATTTATTGTATATTTTAAAACATTTTTGAAGCAAGAAAGTCTTTGTTAACAAAAATATATTTTACAATATATTGTAAAAATTATTTTACTTGTTTTAAATATATTAAATAATATAATAATACATATTTAATATTTTATAATTTTTATATTTTTATTACATAATTTTAATCATAATTTGAAACAAGACAAAAATTTTAAATTATTAAAATAATTTTTTTATAGTAAAATGAAAGCTTTTAAATAATATGCCCCATTCAAAGCCAAATTGGGTAAGAGAAATGAGCACAGCTTGACAGTTTTTCCAATTAAATAATAATTCGAATTCTCTAATTGAAGTAGAATCAAAAAGTGGCCTTAATCTTCCTTAAGTTAAGGCCAAATTAAGTTGGCTACCATCTTTCTCGGAGCTTCAATACACTAAGGACACGACTTGAAGATAAAGCCACTTCATGGCAATAAACTGTAGAGCAAGCAAATGGTCATGATGTCGTCCACGGCTCCAAGAGCGAGCCTTTTGTTTGAAGAAACCGCCAAATGCAAACGACAGCAGAAGAGGGAAGAGGGAAGAGGGAGAGGCAGCAGGACAAGGACAAGACGGGCAGCAGTTGGGCCGGCAAGTGCGTGCGTATTGAAGGCTCAGTGACCAGCTTGAAGGATATGCCACGCCACGTACATATGCTCGATAGCAGGCAGTCGAAAATCAAGTTAACAAAAGGCAAATGAGAAGGCACAGAGAGGGAGAGAGAGCGAGAGGCGGTGTACAGCGGTTGACAAAGGCAAAAGGTTGGGGTTGAGCAGCAGCAGACGCACGATAAGCGTCAAAGGACATGGAGACTGTGCACAGCAGCAGCAGCAGATACTAGCGCAAAAAACATTCCAATGAAAAACTGTGAAATGCTTGGCAAAGGAAAAGCGTATGGAGACGGAGCAGGAGCAGGAGCAGGAGCAGGAGGCGCCGCTGGCGTAAGAGGGGCATTCCGGAATGGTGAGCTACATCAAAGCAAAAGGCAGCGAGTGCTGCGGGCTTCACACAAATTGGAAGCCCAAAAAGAATTTTAAAGCCCGAACCTAGCCCAACAGGCGCAGCAAGCAGCTGGCAGCAGGCAGCTGGCAGCAGAAGCGGAAACGGAAATGCGCCGCAACGCATTTGATTTGCTGCCCAGCTGATGAGCCAACTGTGGTGCAGGGTTGACGGAAGTGAGGCAAGGGCCGTGGAGGCTGCACTTTAGTCACTTCAGCAAATATGTCTTCAAGTGTCGTTTAGCTTGCGCCATGCAGCGAAGCACGTGCACCCAAACCTATTGTTCGTGCTAGCGATGGGCAGGAATGTGCCTTAATGAGACGATCAACGAGCAACTCACGGGCTAGCACGACTTGGCAACGTGAAGTGGCATGACTTATCATGAGACCAACACGAGTTGACTCGACTTGCCAGTAGATAACACGATATGACACGACCTTAATCAATAAGCACGAGCTAACACGAGTGGGCACGACATAGCATTGCTTAAAGCACGACTTAGAGCTCGTGTCTTCAAATTTAAATTTCATTGGCTCAACAGAAGCAAAGACGAAATTGATTAATGAATCGATTTCGGCTACTTAATTCCTGATCATTTATTACACACTATATCCTATGCGTGCTCGGCTCGAGTCGTGTGCCGTGTCGACTTCAGCTACCCCAAGGGCTGTGCCCTAGCCTAGCTCAGCTTTGATATGCCGCGTGCTTTATTAAAATTTCATTGTTGGTGAATAGCAAAAAAGAGAGAGCGAGAGAGAGAGAGGGAAGGAGCGGCACCAGGAGGAGCAGGGGTATTGGGTCCCTTTGGGGACATTGTTATAAATTCCAATTGCTTCGCTTGAGAAATGTGAAAAATGCGCCATGTAAATTATTTCTGCGTCTTGGACGCATTTTTTATTGTGCATGATAAATTTTTATTGTAATTGGCTGTTGATTTATGGCCGCAGGACGAGGCGCAGCAGCGGCCGTTGTGATAACAGAGGAGACGGCGATAAGCAGCCGCAGTTGCTAGCCAGCCAGCGCATGGGGCGTGGCACTGATAATTAGAAGCGGAATTTGCTATTTGGTGGCCATATCGAATGGAAAACTCAAGTGCCTGAGCATAAAAACTAATCGCAGCAAAAATTGAAATGAAAGAGCCAAAAGGCAACAAAATAAAGAAGATCATCTAAGCAACGATGCGTAACATGAGCCACGCCCCCACCGCCTTTAGCACAGCCCACCCAAGCAGGAAGCAGCAGCGGCAGCGGCAGCGGCGCAGGCATTTGGGCCTCCTTTCATGGCTAACATGGCGAAACCAAAGCGCATTATTGTTAGATGCTCCTCCTGCAGAAGAAGAAGACGGGAAAAGACACAGCGTCAAATGCCATAAAACTTTATGAAGCTGGCAAAGCGGGCGGGGCGGGTGGGGCGTGAGGCTGCGCGCCAGAAGTGCCAGATTTTGTAATGCTTTTGTGAAAGATTTCATGGTAATTTCACCGGGTTATAACAATTTACAAATTATGTAATCGAAATTTATTGCCTGCGCACCTTCAGGCCAAGCAGCGGGAGAAGCAGAAGAACTTTGTGGCATGAAGATGGAAGGACGGACAGGCAGTTGCCACGGCACGCTTTCAAGATTCTATAAAGAGTGGATGGGTGGGCCAACAGCACCACCAGTACCACCAGCACCACTGGCACCACCATATGCAGGTGGCTTTGATGGGCAGCTGATGCTCGCCAACATTTGACTCCAGGCAACAAAGGCGAATTCTCAACTGTCTCCCAACTCCTGCTGCTCGTTGAGATGCGTCCAAGATAAAGCTGTTGTGGCTTCTGGGTAAAGACTTAGATTCCAGATTTAGATGGAATATATATTTTATATAGCAGCAGACAGCATAGGCAAGCAGCAGTACAGCTGTTGCTTAAGCTCGATCATAAATTCAGTTCTCAATAGAAATCTCTTTGAGGTTCAAGTTTTAACTGAAAAACCTTGTTAGATATTTCAGTCATTGAAGGATTAACGTATCTATATATAAATATATATTATAATATATATATATATTCTATATATAAATATATATTTACATAAGCCGAATTTCTTTCAGCCAACTCTTAGAGTCTCTCAGTTCAATTAGCAAGGATGGAGAAAGAGGCCAAAGCTCTAGCTTCAACTGAATTGCGAGGTCTGTTTAAAGAGTCACGCGATCACAGATTAGGTATTTCATCTATGGGATTACTCTGAAAGGGACAAAGAGATGTTCACTGAAAACAAACTCCAAAGTAGCGATACTTTATGAGCAGACCTCGTATAGTGCATTATACCTAACTAAGAGTAGCAAAGGTTCCACTTGTAGCTTAAGTAATTTGTCCAGATATTTATAGCTTTATATATATATATCTAACTCTCATAAATTCTTAGACAAATAACTTAAGCAGCTGCTGTTTGGCATTTAACTAATATAATCCAAAATTAGTGCCAAGTTTTATAACAATATTTGCTTAAGCTGACTCTGCTCCAATCTCTGATCTCTCATCATTCAGTGAGCTTAGCGAGTCTTTAAAGTGGAAAAGCCCCAACTCAATAGCTGCTTGGCCAGTCTTTTGTTTGCAACTATTTGTTTTATTTGTTATTTCATAAAGCTCTTCGCTTGGTAGCCAATTATATATATAAATCAAGAGCTTGGCTAACGCCTTATTCCCATGTTCCATGCACTCACTGCGGCCACGCCCAGAGGCGCTCCTCTTTGGGGGCATGGCGCGCATGAAGCGCAACCCATTTGTTACGGCACTTGCCGAAACTCCAATAATAGAGCCATTAAAAGCCAACTACTTGGCCATCAAGTGCTTTAGTTTGGCATAAATCTGAAGCGCATGGCCAAAAAACTTTTTCGGGCCACAAATCTGAGCGCGTCTTCTGATCCATGGAGCTGAATTGGTATTGCAATTGGAATTGGAGTTGGAGTTGGAGTTAGAGTTGGCGTACCTGTGTTGTACCTTTAATTAACGCCCTGGCTTATTTGGCCAACAGGTGTACAAACTTTCGGCCACGCCCCAGCACGCAGCCAGACCCGAGCCTAGGCACAACTTTTCTGCCGCATTTTTATTTAATTTAGAGTCGAGTCGAGTCGCTGTCCTGGCAAGGACTTTCATGTTGTAATTTCCTTAAATTTACGAGCTTACTTGGGCGTTGCGAGTGGGTGGGGCGGCGGCTGCTAAAGCTAAATAGTTGCTGCGCAGCTTCTGGATTTACGGCCTGGTTAGGGACTTTAGGCTTTTGGGCAGTTTTACTTGCCTGGCTTTTGCTATGAAGGCGGCTGTGGTGGGGCTGCTGCTGCTGCGGCTTGTCAGCGCCTCGTTTTATTGGCCACGCCCTCGCCCTAACCTGCTCGCTATCTGCCCACTCACACTCGCGGCTCATGCTGTAAATGAGCAACTTTTTGCTGCTCTATACACCTCTGACTACGTGTGTGTGTGCGTGTGTGTGTGTGTGTGCTTTTTGGCAATTTCGCATGCAGTTTATGACTAGGCACAAGCAACAGCAGCAGCAGCCGCAGCAGCAGCAAACTTACAACTCGTGCAGCTGTTGGCTGCCACATGCAGCATATTTCGAGCTAAGGCCACCTACTCCCATCTCCTCCCGCTTCTATAAAAGTTGATCAAAATTATAACTACGCCCGGACAAACATTTTGCCATTGAGGCAGGTTGCCTGCCCCGCCCTCTGCGAGACCCTTCAGCCGCATGTTTTTGGACAATTAGAGTGCGGCTCATTGCCCATAAAGTTATAGAATTCATGGGGCACGTTCTGCAGAACGCATTTCCAGTTTACTTATGGCCAACTTAGTTGGACCCACAAAACATAAAAGAAAACTTTCGTTTCATTAGCTGGCGTACGTAGGATATATATATATATATATCTATCTCAAAGGATATTCACTTTTATGGCTGCACTTCTTAAGTTGGGTTTTCATAAATGTTGCACATAAATGAAACTAGCTGAAGCTTTAAGTAAATTAGGCACAGATTTAGTGCCCCAAGAGCAGAGACTTTTGGAAGAGAATTGATTGAGCGAAACTGGAATTGATCTAAAGATGAACAACTTTTCTTGTTTCTTTCTCTTTCTGTTTAAAATATGATTTCTCTAAAGATATTTATTGCTTCGCTTTTCTCCTGGTTAAGTTTTAGATAAATGTAGTAAGGTTATGTGGAATGAAATCCCTTATTAAATAGATAAATGATTGTCCACAAATATTTCAGGCTTTTCTATATGCTTTATCTCTGCTTATTGTGAGGTCATTCAAAGGATAGAGATCTCTCTTTTACTCACTCACGCTCTTTTCCTTTCGCTTTCTTTTCTCACTCTTTTTATCTCACTCTTCTGGCCTCTGCCTCTCACTCTGTTTTCTTTTCTCTCTCTTTCTCTTCTCACTCTTTCTATCTCACTCTCCTGGCCTCTGCCTCTAACTCTCTCTGTATCTCTAACTCTCTCTCTCTCTCTCTCTGTATCTATTTTTCTTTGTCTTCTCTTTTTTTCTATCTTTTACTTCCACTCTCTTTCTGTCTCTCTCTGTCTCTCTCTTTCTCTCTCTCTCTCTTTCTCTCTCTCTCTCTCTCTCTTTGTGTAACACACTCTCTCTTTCTGTCTCTCTGTCGCTCTGCCTCTCTCTATCTCCTCCTATATCCTAGTCTTGTTCTCTCTTCCTCTTTCACCTTTTCTCCTGCCTCCGTCGCTCTTCAACTCTGTCACTCTACCTCGCTCTCCCTGGCAATTTAGTCTCCCACCAACGTTTCTCGACTGCACCAGAGACAGAGTCCATCAATAATATCGTCTGCAGGCTAACTAAGCTGACTTATATCATACACATTAAGTAATTAATTCGAATCATCTACGATAATTGTAATTAAATTGTGAACGTATGAAAAAGTGTGTCGCATTGTTCCGCATTTCGCGCGGTTGCAGCAACATGTTGCATATGAACAATTGTTGATGAGCTGCCAAACAATATCATTTAGTTATGTGGGATTAGTAAATGTTGTTTTTGAATGGATTAGCTTAGGGAGAGGTCTGTAGCGCCTGGTGGAGTCCACTTCCGTTTTGCATGCCGCAGATCCCAGAGAGAGAGAGAGAGGGAATGAGAGAGGGAGTTGAACGAGAAGCTGCGGCGAAAATTGTTCGATTGTTGCCACCTTGTGGTGCGCACGAGTGCGCTTGCAACAGCCACGCCCACTCAGGCCTACAAGCTTGTTAATCATAATTAAATACACGTAATGCGGGACGCCAGCGTGCGCGGCATGCAAATGTGGCCGGCAAGTGGAGGCTGCAGCGGCCACATCAAATGTGCACCACATGTGCTGCGCCGCCAAGGTGCACTGAACCTGCGCCCATTCAACGGCTGATATAAAAGCGCGCCGACCGCCAGCCCGCCCAGACAGTGCGCAAAGCGAACGTGCCCCAAACGGTGGCAAGACGGAATTAGCCGCATACAAACAAGGATTTGATATCATACACAAAATCCACACCTACCATGCAGCAAGTGAGTGAATAGTCAGTGAGTGTTTGGCAATGAATCAAGTGAATCACAATGACTCGCAGCAAAGCGAATCCAGCAACATCAAGAAAACATATGTGAAGTATAGCTAAAGACAGCTGCAGCTATGCCAGTGTTCAGTTCGACTTACTAACATTCAATCAGTATCATTGATTGATTGATTGATACAAGCTGTCAACAGCAAAAAGACGCTTAACTAAAATTCATTGTGAATGATCTTCTTGACTGTGTGAATAGCATTTGCAGCAAAGGCTCTGATCTGATGCTTTTTAAAGGTGCTCAATCACTCAATCATTTTTAAAGGTTTTTAAAGGTGCTCAATCACTCAATCATTTTTCAATCAATCTTCATATATCAAGGCAGCACATCAATCATTCCATCAGCTACTTTAAAGCGCTTCAGTTAGTTTGTCTTCATATTTAATTGTTGTTCAATCACTTTGATTGACGCATTCAACCCAGGCTTCAGGCGAATGCTATTCATGGATTCTCTGTTTATAATTAGCCTCTTCTGATTGACATGCACTACAGATATACGAGGGCAGTTTGAGAATAGTCATATAAAATATGTCAAGACCTCAATCGTACTCAATCAATCAAGTGTTTAAGTTATGAATACGAAATGATTCACAAATGTAGTTTTAGTAATTTACTATTTGACAGCGTGTAGACAAGCTGCTGCTACCTTTGTAACTAGTAGTCAAAATGTAATTCATAACGGGAAATAAATTCTATTAACAGCTTAACTGACTCTCTAATTAATGCTCCCTCTCCCTCTTCCTCGCTCTCTACTCAGCTACCCGCGCAGCCTCTAAAAGCAAGCAACCTGCTCACTCTGCTGCTGCTGACTGCGACAATGTTGCAGGCCCGTCGCATCTCCAGCCGGCGACTCGTTATCCACGTGCCCGTCAAGGTGAAGACGCATCATCACACCCACACCGTGTACAAGGTGTTGCACGGCTCTGGCGCAGGCGGCGGTGGCAGCGGCATCAAGCAGACGGTCTACAAGATTGTGGGCTTCTCCGGCGAAGGTGGCGGCGGCCATGGCGACATGGGGCATGGCAGTCACAGTCCAGGTCACAGTCACAGTCAGAGTCACAGCCAGAGTCACGGCATGGGCATGGGCATGGGCATGGGCGAGATCACGTATGAAGACAGGCATGGCTGTGAGAGCGGCAAGGTGATGCCATCGCATCGGGACATATTCAATCATTATGCGCGCCACGACCAGGAGGCGGCGGAGGACTCCGACTATGCGGAGGAGCGGGACGAGTTCATTGATGTCAGGGATGCCTGGTTGTGAATAAAGTCGTGTGAAAAACGTTGCCGATTAATTATAAAATTCCAGCAGCCAAAGAAATTATACTCAACTATCAACAGAGCGAGTGAGAGGCAGCGAGAAGGTCGCTGCATTTGCATGCGGCTCAAAGTAATTACAAAATTGTTGAAGCCATGTAGACATCCATGCCCATGTCCGACTCCTCCGCCCCCTCCTCCCACATCACACTCCTCCAGCTGCTGCTCGTTGTCTTCGTCTGGCAATGGCAGAAATGCCAGCTATGAAGTTGTCTCGTAGTCGCCGTCAAAATCGAAATCCGATTCGGATTTGGCGTCTCCCGTCTCTATGCCTTTTGTTGTTTGCTTTTCGTCTCTTTCCGCATTTTGTTTGTTGTAATTGGAAATAGCAAGTGGTAATAGCTGCAGGCGAGGGCGGGGCGCATCAGAGGCAGGGGTAGACAAACCTGTGACTGCGGCCAGTCGCGCACTTCAACCTCAACTTTAAGCATTTGCATAGCTCTTGACTCGAGCCAGGAGCGAACGACCATGGCATATTTCAGTGGACAATTAAAAGTAACAAAATGGATGGGATACAACCGAGCAGATGATGGGGCGTAGTATAAGACAAAACAGTTAACAGTAGCACACAACAAGAAACTGCTATTCGGAGTTCTATTAGGCAATACTATAGAGATAAATAGGGAGCTAATACCAGAGGCAATACAAATGGAAAGTAGAAGCAGATATAGGGGTAAGCTATGCTTGTTTCAGAATATAATTTGAACAGTGTTTCGGAGTAATTTACGGAGTATGTTTGGGAGTATCATAAGTGAAAAGTATTTTTTCGGAGTGCTAGGGAAACCACGTAGCATTCAAAATAATTGATATAATTCGAAAAAAAATTCGGAATAAATATGATTTAGAGATTGTTTTCGGAGTATGCTTCAAAAAAATTTCGGAGTTTTTTTTTTTGTATATTTTTTTCGGAATATATTTTTTGTTTCGGAGCAAAAATGATTACAAATGTGTTAACTATTAAAATACATAAGAAATAAAGTTTCGGAATACACTTAGTATTACTCTACATAGGAAATACAAGCAGAGATTATACAATACAATATTATTTAAATATAAATAAAATGTTGAGTTCAATTTAAGATATTACGAACGAGCTTTGCTGCTTAACAATTAGACATCAAGTGGAGCCCCGATTGGCATAGGCTTAAACTGAAATCTGGAAGGCTGCATCCATTTCACTATGCTAGCTAATCCTGGTGATTATCCAGCAACAATTGACTGGCGAGCGGGCTACTGTGCGCAGCTGCTGTATTATGCATGTCCATTAGGCCCGCCGGACAGGGTCCACAATCAATTTAAAGTGTCAGCAGTCGGCGTACGGCGCGGCTCCTCGGATTTGAAGTGGAGCAGCCAAAGCTGTGTCTGACATAAGTTGGATTGATCACTACGAGACGCGGGGACAGGTGAAGAATAATTTGCATTTAATTGAAGGCGACATGGTGTCAGAGGGGCAGCGAGTGAGCGAGAGAGGCAGGCTCGGGGTGAGCATGATGAATGCGTCTGCTTGGCCAGCAAGATGTGCGCTCCACGGGTGGGCCTGGCGCCAGTTTTGCTTTCAATTGATATAAATGTGGCCATTTAAAGGCATTTAGCCTATGCTAAAGGCCAACAGTCTTGGCAAGACCAGAGAAGGCCGGCGCTAATCCTCTTTGTGGCACGTGGAAAGGCTCGAGCCAGTGGCGAGACGTGCTCTGACCGATGAGTTAAGCGTCGTGTCTTTTGTTCATCAATGTGAACAGTTATTAACATTTTTAAGCCTTTGCACACACGCACACACAGACAACAAAGCGCACAACAATTTAAGCAAATTCTAAGCTTAGAGCGTGACTAGCAGAGCGAAAGAGAGAGAGAGAGAGAGAGAGTCAGGCATATCTGACTGCTTAATACCTGTTCCCGTTTCATTTAAGCCCAACTCTCTAAGCGTTTCGAGTCTTTACAAAAACCCAATACGCTCTCAATCGCTGCTTTGTGAACTAGCATCAATTGAATTCCATTTTCTGGCTATAGAAAATCATCTTTTGAGCTGCTAAGCCCCAATTTGTATGCCAGTCGAACTGTGTCCAGGAATCGCCATCGAAGTTTCCTGGCCTGCGGTCCCAAATAAATCTATTGATTTTGCTTAAATGGCTTTTGTGCTCAGCTCTGGCCCAGGCAAATATGCTGCGGAAACTGGCACAATTTCAATTGACTCAAAATTGTTTTTACCTTGGACAGGTGAGGCATATGAGGCTTGAATAGTTATGCACTTTAATGTAGTCAAGGCGGGGGATGAGACTTGAACGTGCCACCCGCTCTGGCAAAGTTTGTTACACAAAATGCTAAAAAACATTTCAAATGTGGCTGCTGGCGTTTTGCAACACTGTATGTGAAGCGAAAGTTGTTCAGCTTTACTAGTAGCTTGCATTCAAGGAAAACCTATTAGCTTGAGCTCTAGTGAAGTTAGATCTAGCTTAACAATACTAAATATAACAATTTAATATAATATAATTTAGTTTTGGGCATTGTGCAACACTAGCAATAATTTTATATAAATGGATAAATGAATTTATTTAGCTGAAGTGAAAATGTGGCTTAATTTATGGAATTTCAAATATTTGAGACTAGATTAAGAATTTTAAAATAGTTCTTACAAAACTTTCCAACACTTAATATTACAATTTGATGGTATTTCTATAATTTTACAACACTTGCTTCGATATTATATCAATTATGATAGGAATTCAGCAGTGCAAGCTAAACACAAGCGGATTCTTTAGGCCTTATCCAACACTCAAGTATTGCAGACTTTAAGCAACACTCAAATATTGCCTCTTGCCTTATAGAATAATTATCCTGATAGATATTCCAATTAGTTCTCCAACTCAAAACTTGCAAAGCCTTTCAAACATTGCCCAACACTGGCATTGCCTTTTAGCCACCTCTGCGACTGCAGCGCATGGGAAATTCGTTGAATTCGAATCTCTGGCTCGTTATATGTAGCATTTGCGTAATTGAATTGGATGCCAAACGCCGTGCAGCTGGACAGCTTGTTTACCCTTTGTCTAGCCCTTTGATATTTCATTTTGTGCTGCCTCAGTGCCACAAATTGTATGGCTGGCTGTTTGCTTAATTGGTTTCATTAGGGTGCCATGTAGCACTTGCCCACTTACCAGCGTCCTTTCGTTTGCCGGCGCGTAAAATGCCAAAAAAGCGACGCTCCTGACGCTCCTGGCGCCTGTCGACGTTCAGTGCTGCAAAACACAACAAAATCAATAAATATTTACAACTTGTTTTTTTTTTTGGTGTAAAATATAGAGAACTTTAAGATGAGAGTTGAATGTAAAAGTTTCTGAAAGGTTGCCAGCCACTTAGAGCTACAGTTACACGTGTCGCCGCAACAGCAACAACGAGAGCTCCCAGTGGCCCGGACCCGGCATAATTTTCCACAAAGTGACAACCAAATAAACTGAGGGCAAAAAAGCTAAAAAAAAAAGGTAAACTTTGCTCGGACAGCTGCTGGTCAGGTGCCAAGTGCGGAATTTGTCTATGGCACTAATTTTAACGCCATTAATTTGGCCAGGCAAAAGGCCAGCAGAGAGTAGAGTGGAGAGCCAGAGAGAATTTTAAATTAAATGGACACAAGTTTTATTGAATTGAGTGTATCCAAGAGCGAGCAGCCGGAATGGTGACCAAGCGTCATGTGGCGAGAGCTGAGCCAAATGGACAAGCCGGAAACGGAAGCGCATTACTCAGCTTTCTGTCGAGCAGTTGTTGCACAGCACGTTTACACACGCAAGTGATTGGCAGTGGGGTTAAGAGCACCCACACTTGCCAGGGCGCAGCACGCTCTGTCAAACGAGAGAGCTCCGGCAAAAGTTGTGGCAAAGTTTTTGATTTCATGATATATTTATGGGCTGCTTCCGTCGCTCCGCTTGGCTCCTTTGGGTAATAAAGTTGCTGCTTAAAAAGTCCGGCAAGACTGTGGCTTACGGTGTTTCCTCGATTTCCACCACCACCTCGCTGCCTAGGCATTTCCAGCTTGGCAGTTTAAAGACTAAAGCACAACATTGCGTATACGTGCTGTTGTCCAGCACAATATTCAAATGATGTCGTTGATAATTGTGATTAGTGGTTGTAGCTGCTGCTGATAATGATGATGCTGATGTGCTGCGGCTTGACGCTTGTTTAGTGGTTCATGTGGCTGAGACCATCCACACGGATGCTGCGGCTTGCATTGTTTAGCTTGATTATTGCAATGCACGAGTGGGTTAAGGGGTTAAAGAGTTTAGTCTAAACCAATATAGCTGGCATATTGAATTGAAACAGTGAAACTAAAGTTAAATATCTCAGTTTTAGCTAACTGTGATTCTTTGTCAAATGCTTTTGCATTCAGCTCTTCGCAGCCTAAAGCCAATTTGTATTACCTTAATTATGCCAGTAATCAGATAAGTATACCCACACACACACACACACACACACACACACTCACAACAATAAGCCAACCGTCTGTTCAGGTAGCCACAGCAGCAGCGCAATTGGAACTGGAATTGTGTGTCAGGCTAATGGAAAAATCGACTGGGCATAAAATCAATTAAATATTAAATAAACGCTATCAGCAAATAGCAATTTTCCTTCTCTCATTGCCTCTCCCTCGCTCTCTCTCTCTCTCTCTCTCTCTCTCTCTCTCTCTCTGTCGTTGCCTCACATTTCCGCCATTTGCAAGTGAAATGCAAACAGTGAAGCGCTCGTTGCTCTGGCCAACTTTATGGGCGTAATCCTTGCAATTATGAGCCAGGGCAAACATTATCTCAATATTGCATGAGAAGAGCCTGGAAACGAACCAATAAGCAATATGGAGCTCACGAAACGGACACAGATAGCTGAAAGCTTACACACACACACACACACACACACACACACTCACACTCTAACACAAAAGCCTTTGATAAACTCTACGTGCTGCTGCATGTTGCATGCAAATTCATATATGAATGAATGAATTTTGAGCAGGTGCACAAGAGTAGCTGCATTAGTCTATAGGTGTGTGTGTGTGTGTGTGTGCGTGTGTGCGCAAGGTTGAATGGTTAGCAAAAAGACTAATTATGTATTCATTAAAATGGCAAATGCCAACAGCAACATTCAACCCTATGAGATAACATAAAAAATAAATACAAATACGAGAACGAAAACTTGCGAGCCGGAGGCAAAGGTAAAACACACATTTTAGGATATGATTTTGCATGATGCACAGCAGCTTGTGCATTCAGCTTTAATATAACACATTACACTTGGGTAGATTAGTTTCAGGAAAGAGTGTAAGAGCTTTGATACTTTAAGTGCTGTATACATATATATGATCAGAGCAGTCAAACACCTTATTGAGTGACTTCCCTTATGCCTTCTATAAGTGCCTTCTCGTTTTATTATATGTATAGATATATCTATATTATGTTATCTATATTTTATTAAAAACTCATACGAATTCATGTGAGCAGAAAGTTTTTACTGAAGCGCAATACCTAAGATGAACTTACAACTAAAAAGGGGTTCGATGCATAGTTGTTGTGTGGTTCTTTAGGATCATTTTGTTTAGTATGTAAAGACGCCGAAAATGGACTTGAAGAAGCGATAGATTGGCTTGGGTATCTCCACGGCAAAGAGCACGGAGCTGTCCTCGCTTTGTACGGCTGATTGAGAGCGCTGCTGAACCGAGGGATGTACCAGGTGCAGACTGCGATAGATCTCGTTGATCTGATTGGAGGCGTCGTCCTTGTTGCCGGTGCCAGGGTGAACAACGGGTTGCAGCCACAGCTGAGAGTTGCCAAATAGTTCGTCGATCTTGACATCGCCTTCGTCAGTGTTGTCCGGAATAGCGTCCGATGCTGGAGGCACGGGTGGCTTTGGGTTGTTGCCAGCTTTGGGTGCTTTGTAAATGTAGATGTGACCAATTAGCTGTAGACCCTGATTCACATGCTCCTGTTGTGGCTGATGTGCGTTGCCCTCGTGCGCGCGTCGTTGATTTGCATAAAAATCTGACGGGTCGTACATCGGATAGAAGGGGTTGAAGTTGTACAGCTGATCATTAATGCCGGAAGCTTTGTTGTTGCTATTTGCTTCGTTTTCTTCAGCGGACTTCCAGAAAGGTATTGGCAGCAGAGGATAGGGAAAGAAGGCAGGCTTACCATAAAAGCTCAAATTGCCATGTGGAATTAAGCTAGCGTTAAAGCTATCGTGGTTAAGCGAAAATTTGTCGTGCTTGTTTCCAAATAAGTCGGTTCCGTTAATGTTGAACGTGGCATTGTTTAAATCTGCTGTGTCAGAAGCATCGCCTTTTGATATGAAACTTCCGAAGAGTGGGGGGAATGGCAAGAACGCCGGCTTCATAAAATGCCCGAATGTGGGGTTGTTGGTAATATTCAGACCTGTAATGTTCAGACCTGCTAGGGGATCGACAATATAAAACCCACGGGGATATTTGCGTCTCTCAGGTTGCACCTTATCCACAACCTGCTTCTCAATACCCTCCAACTTTCCTACGACTTGTTCTGTATCGATGGAGGGTTTAGCGACATCTGCTAGTGTTTCCTGGACCTCAGACTGCACGCGTTTCTGGCTCTCGACTGCTGGAGCTGCTTGCGATTGCTGAGACTTCGACTCGACTTCGCTGGCAACCAAATTGGATAGCTTCGGCGCTTCTTGAGCTTGCTGTTGCACCACCTCCTTGACGACATCCTGCACAACCTCATTTGATACCTGTGACTGTTTCGCTTGAAACCTCACAGGGACCTGATCTGCGTTAGACTCTACCGATACCTCAGGGGTCTTTGCCTCTGGAGCGACTTTTGTGATTTGCTGTGCCTTGGACTGTTCTGGCTCCACAGGATTCTCTGGCAACTCAGCGTCAATCTGAGAGACTTCATTGACTGCCTCTGCATGCTGCTGCACAGCATTTCCAGTCACCACATTAGGCTTCACCGGCTGAACAGGGCTTTCCACAAGTTGGGAGTCGGCATTTGCCTGCTCTATCGCTGGCTGCACGAATTGCACAGGAAAGTTCACACTGGACTGTTCCACGTTAGATTGCACCGCATGACCAAGGTTTCCAGCCACCTGAGAGTCTTCCTTCGTTTCCACCTGGGAAATCTCACCGACAGGCGGCACAACTGGCACAGGATTTCCAACTGCCTCGGGAGTGCGAATAGAGCTTGCCCGTGCGCTGAGCACCGCGAGCAATAGAGCAACAAGTCGTAGAGTATTCTTTGAATAGAGATGCAACAATTTAGGGCACTCACTGACTACTGAAGGTACTCAACTTACCATCTTGAGAGCTTCAAATGAACTGTGTCTCAATTGCTGCCTGCAACGACTATTTATACCTAGCCAGGACACGGAATTGTTGCTTATCTGTCCGAAAGCAATATTTTTAGCTGGCGACATTCCAATGCCATTAGATCAGAGTTTGCTCTAGGGCTATCTATACCAAGGCACTTGGCTGCCTTTCATATCAGTAGGTTCTTGCTATCATTCGTTTCCGTTTCAGCATTTTCTGAAAATTCTTGTTTCCCTTGCCTTTGTTTTTGTAGGTACTTAGCAAAGGGCGTCAATGGCAGAAATGTCGGAAAAAATGAAATTGCACTTAAGTTCTATCGTGCGAGAGCCTTTTCGAATTGTTGTTGTTGTTGCATTTTACGTGCAACATGAAAATGCCATTGTTTTGTAGCGCAGCAAAACGGAAATCTATGAATCGCTTTTGTATGTTTTTCCTACCCAACGACCAACAACAACAGCAGCAACAAATGGACGAAGTCGTGGCAAGTGCAAAAGACTGTCAACTGCGTGGAGTGATGTGTGCGCGGGTGGCCGGGTCTAGGGGGCCTAGGGGGTGTCGGGGTTGCTGTAGCCTATACACCCGCACATAAAAAAGCAAAGAAAACGTGCATCGGCTGCATATTCATGGCAAAGCCTTAGCTCTCTTGAGAGCTTTATCTGCCGCAGGTGTGCTGAAAGCACAGCAGCTGGTCATTGACATGGTAATGGAACCGAAAGAGAGATAGACAGAGAGAGAGAGGAGTAGGTATCAAAGCTCCAGCTGGCCTTAGTAATTGTATTGCCTGATGCATTGTGGCATTTGTGCCCAAGTTTCCATTGACTGAAGTTTGGTCAAATTGTGGCATTTGCAACTGACAGCATTTCCACTGAAATTTCAAATTCCAATTGCTAAAAACGAGTGAGCAAAGCTCGGGCATTATTTATCAACTCTTTAAGACTTTAACTTACATTTTTAGATATGACATTCTTAACTATGGAACTCTTTAGTCTAAAGATCTATCAACTCAATTTGTTCTATAATATGTTCTCTTCTTCTTGATGATCGTTCGTAAGTCTGACTTTATCTTAAAACTTGTGTAGAAATCAGCTTGTTTTGTACTAGTTTCTAGAATTTCTAGTCTAGCATTGTCTTCAAGCTATACTTCTAAAAGAGTTTCTCCTCTACCTTGCCTTAAATATATTTTTTAGACTCTTTAAGCTTAGTTTCCTTCAGCGCAAAAGCTGTTATATATATAGGGTAAAGACAACAGAAAATTAATCAGTTCGCAATTGAAAATTCCAAATTCCAAATGCTAATACCCTTGCAGCCAAGGAAAGCAAAGGCACTAAAATGTAAAGGCGCAGAATTTCAGATATTGCCAGAGAAGCGAAACCAAGCCAAATAGCACCCAAAGTCCAAGCTCGCAGCTGCCAGGGTACAAAATTGTTTTGCGCAGCGGCAGATGAGCTGTTGAAATTGCAAGTGCGGCACTTGCTCAATTTTTCATGAACCTCCCACAAGTCAAGTTGGAGGGCACAGCTGAAGAGCGGCAGGTCTCGAAGCACAACGAAGACTCGATACACTGTGAAAAGCAACTCACGTATGTAAGCTGCAGTTAAAGTTGAATAATTGAAGAAGTGCCACAAGCTAGCTGACAGGAGAGGAGCCAACGTCAGGCAGTGTAGTGGAAGACTCTTGCCTGAGTGGCTGCAACCCACACAAAGCAGCAAATGGAGCCACGCGAAATCTGTGAAAAGGTGAAATTAGCAGCCAACATCCGCATCGGCATCGTCGTGGCCAGACAATAAGGCGAGCTGCGGCCCTTGACTCGAGCCACTTGCAGCAGCCAGCGCACAGCGATGTATGTAAATAAATGGCCAAGAAAAACGACAGCCGAAGCCGAAGCCAAAGCCAAAGCCACAGCCACATCCAAAGCCAATGCTAAAGCAAAAGCCCAAGGCCAAGGCAGAGCAGGAGCAGTCGAAGCAGCCGGCACAGCCATCCAGCCAGCCTATGGAACCTACAGATAAGACCCAGACCCAGACCCAGACCCAGACTCCAACTCGAACTGAAGCTCAAACACAGGCTACGTAGCACGGCAGTCGCTGCTCAGCGGAGTTCTTCTGCTTTTGATGATGCTCTTCGTTCTTTATTTTTATATACCCTGTAAACATTGAGTGTTACTTAAATGAGGAGTTTAATGTTTGTGATAAGCAGCGGAGTTAGTCGAAATCACTTATTATTTGTTCAATTTAAAGACTTCGATAGAACTTTTGGCATAATAAGCTAATGTCAAGTTATCGATAGTTATCGATAAGCACTGACGCCTAGTTTCATAGAGTTGCCTGCAGCATAGAAGTCAATTTTGAGAATTTGTCATATCAGATATAGCTCAAAATATGTTATCGATAATCTTTCAGTTTGCTCAAAATCGATAGATTTTGATATAAAGCAGCTGCCCTTAAAGAATACCTCCAAGTTTTTATGTGAGCTCCATTACTATAATTAGTTTGCTTAAAATAAGCGATTTCTTCTCAAACTTGTTAGAAATCGATAATAATCGATTCATAGAAAATATAACCAATATGTATTATTGAAATTAAAAAGTTAGAGCTTGCAAAATTTACAAAGGCTTAAATAAGTAGATTTAATAATTGATAATTTTTTCTTAAATCGATAAATATCGATAGCACATATTCAAATATAGAGAGTTTGAAGTTATTTACAGGGTATGGACGAGTCGCGCAGTAGCGCTGCAAAGCAAATTCGTTTTTCTCTCTTTTTTGGGTGTGCGCGCGTTGCGATAAGATCAATGTATGAGGAGTCCCGACCCAGACAGAGGGACGCACGGACGGATCGATGGACAAACGGACTGTGGCATCTGCAGCAGGTGTTTTGCTTTTTTACAGGCGGCTGCAACACAATATGGGTAACGAGTTGGCCCCCAAAACGGGGCAACTTTATCGGCGCATAATTCACACGGCTGCCTGTGGCCAGGCAGATGTCCATGGCTCGATGATGGCGATGCCGATGACGCTGGCCATGTCTCGATGGCTTGTGAATGTGGCTGGCACTCGTTTGATTGACTCAAAGTGTGGCTAGCCGTGAGCTGTGAACTGCGCGTGTGAATATGAAAGAGAGCCAAATGGCAAACAAACACACACACACACAAAATAGCTGGCCAAATAGCTGCAGGAGAGCAAACATAAAGCTCTGGCTTAACCAGGAGCCACACGTTCATCATTCAGCAGCAGCAGAAGCAGCGGGCATCACATCCGCATTCAGCACGTGCAGCACGTTGCCATCTAGTTCCGCCAAGTCCCCTCACTGCCTCTGCCGCACATCAGGAACGCTTAGAATTCAAAACATTTCAGACAAATTGGCGTCGCTTTCAGCTCAACGTGTGACAAAATGCAATGTAAACAAAGTGCGAGCGAGAGCGAGAGAGATAAACTGGGTCCCATCTTTCAGCAACTGCAACAGCCCCTACTTCTAACCCACTGAGCATTGTCCAGTTGCAGCAGCAGCAGCAGCAGCAGCAGCAGCAACAGCAAACACAAAGTGCCCTTCATTAATTTATGCCAAAACGTTGCTCAGACGACGTTGACGACGTCATTTGAGTGCCGGCTGCAAGCTTCTCCTCTTCCTTGGCGTGGCTGGCTGTAGGTGTTGCTTTATATGCAATAAATAAGATGCTGGAACAGGCACAGGCTCAGGCTCAGGCTCAGTCACTGGTCCAGTCACCATATCTGAATAGAAACCCAAGCGAGCTGCAGCAGCAGGTTGACTGCTGTGGGAAAAATGTTAACGAGCCAAGTAGCCTCATAAGGAAGTGAAGAGAGCCAGTGAGATAGATAAGGAAAGAGAGGCAGGCGAGAGCGGGCCAAAAGATAGGTCACACAACGTATGCCACCATGGGCCAAATTGCAATTTGATTAGACTAAATGCCAGACTTTGGCTTAGCTGAAATGAAAATTATAATTGAAATAAAGAAGAACAAAGCTAAAAAGTCGCATAAGATTCGCTAAAGATAAGGCACGCCATATACAAATTGCAGACTGCTTCTCAAACAACAACTATCTATATATATATATAATCTATCTATATATATATATATATAAAGAGAGAGAGTGAAACGAACTTCTATTTTGACCATGAGCAAAAAAAAAACTCTTTTTATTTGACTAAGATTTTTGCTAAGGCAAAAATGTTCTTTCCAGTTTGCTGTCCCAGTAAAATCGAAGTCATATATAGCAATAGAGTTTTCTCTCTTGCTCAGGCAACTATTCTGCTGCTCTATACGAATTTCAACAATTATAGCAACTACTCATAAATCACTTTTCCATCTGAGAGCCCACATGATGCTCATATATGATACAGCACTGTGAGAGCTATGAGAGCTGTGAGAACCTATTTAAACTGTTGTAACTGTTTGTAAACACTCGACATATCTTGGCAGCAATTAAACACTCGCTAGCCACAGTACACAATGGGACATGGGACAATGGCTGGGAGCTGAAGCTGTGTGTCTATGACACAGTGCCCAACCCTATTTGACAGTTTCCCCCACTTGGAGCCCACTGAGGCAGCCACTTGGCGCGAGGCGCCACGACAAGACTGTGCGCCATTCATGGGGCAAGTATGTGACCCATTTTTTCGACCAGTGCACCTCAGTTCCGCCCGGCAGCTCCGCTTGGCGCTTGTCTCTTGTCTGTTGTCTGTTGTCTCTGTTATTGTTTGCTTAAATGTTTGCCTATATATGGTCGGGCGACAGCTATATAAATATGTGAGCAGCTTTTCACACCTCATTGCATTTGCTTCCTCTTCGCGAGTGGCGTTGCCAGACAGTGGCAAACATTCCACCTGGCCAAACACGTGGATAAGCCTCAGAAATTGATTGCTTGAGCTTGACAAAAGCATAAACAAAGCCAGCAAAAACGTTGCAATCAAATTTTTCAATAACTTTGCGACTCACAGCAAATTTTTATGCACGAAATTGTGCGGGCCATTTTCAATTAAGCGAAATTAAAAATTTATTGCCAGCGACGGCCAAAGGAAAACAAAGGCAAGCGAAAAGCCCACAAAACGAAAGCAAATAGAGAACTTGATATAAAAAACACGAGAGATG